TTAAGCCAAAAACTGAACATTATACTGATATGATTCAAACTTGAATCTCAAAGTCATGCCAAACTGGACCCTAGTTGATTTCAGTTGTGGTTTGCTGTTTTAACGATGCTAAATTGACTCAACAGTGGGCTATACTTGGTTGCAAGCTTCCCTTAAAGACAGTGAAAGACGTAGCAGGGATTCATTTCTTCAGAATTCAATTCAATTTTTGTTTTTGTTGCTAATTTTCATTTTAGTCATAGTTTTTGTTAATGATAACCTTTAGTAGTCTGTAAGAACTACTGTAAAAGCATTAAACCATTGAAATTCTCATAAAGAGATTAGAGCAATGGGTTCATTACAGTATAAAATAAATAATAAAAGCCACTGATAAATCCATGTGGCCTTGTTATTGGCCGAGCCCAATACACAAGCCAAAATCAGAAAGAATTTCACAGACAGAGTGAAGGTGCTGAGGCAGCTGTCAGGGCAGAGTGAAGGAGGTCATGGCTCAGGTGAGAAAATGGAAAAGGCCAGCTGTTCCCCTCTGATGAGGGAGGCCAGCGGCCCTGCCGTGCTACCACACTCATGCTCAGACAAGTCTGGAAAAAGAGAGAAAATGCTCCCTCTGTCCCTCACTCTCTCCTCCTCCCTGCACCTGTCATCGTCTCCCTAATGAACACATTCGACCCTTTCCGCGCCCCGACGCCCTGTCATCTCTCATTAGCAGCCTAGGCCAGAGGAGACAGAAGGCAGGTGAAGTGGCAGGAAGTGGTAATGAATTAGCAGCATCTCACTTTGGGAAAGGACTCTGATAGTCATATCCTCTTGACAAGAACAAGGGGCAGCACCAAAAATGGGGCCTTGATCTTTTTAGTGACCCATCACAGAAGTCACGGCGCCATTAGCTGTCTTTCTGCCTTTAGGTTCATATTTCACAGGAAGAAAAGACCCTGATGTGCTGTTCCAGGTGAGTGCAGGCAGCTTTGTTTTAAATGGCTTTTGCTAATTCAGCCCGGGGAGGTGGGCTCAGAGGAGAATGGAGCGTGACATTACCATGCCTCTCTCTAGGCTAGTGATATCTGTCGTTAGGAGGTTCCTCAGCCTTGTTGTCATAGAAATGGTAGCCAAACCAAAATAGAGTAACAGGGGAAAAATAGCAACTTGGTATCACAGCAACGGGAAGGAAACCAGCCGTGATAAGGGTGTGAAAAGGCAGGGCATATATGTGTGTGACTCAGTGTTGGAATGGACCACTGGGAACCTCTGCAGTTTTGTTTTTCTCTGCCTTGAAAAGGGCTGACACGGTCATTCTGGCTGTCACTCCAAGGGTCCTATGACAGAATTACATCTGGACCCGGGGGGAGACATATGAAGCACATTTTCAATTTCCAAAAGTGCTATGCAAAGCAAACTTTGGCTCACTGTATGGAAACATGATAAGGTTTAAAGAGGCTCCATCCCTTAAACACTTAATTGCCTAAATGTTTGTTATGACCTCTGCACCTTCTTTTTTTTAATACACATTAGTCTGGCTGTACTGGCAGTGTTAATGTAAATGATACACTACATGGAAAAAAGTATGTTGACACATGAACCTCACAGCCATGTATGGTTGGTGAATGTATCATTCCAAAACAATGGGCCTTAATATAGAGTTGGCCCTTTACTGGTCAATTCTTCTGGGAAGACTTTCCACTATATTTTGGAACATGACAACCATTCAGCCATTAGGGAAGTCAGGCACAGATGTTGGGCGATAAAGCCTGCTGCACAATCAGTGTTCCATTTAATCTCAAAGGTGTTGGATGGGGTTAAGTTCAAGGCTCTGTGCAGGTCAGACAAGTTGTTTTACACCAAACTAGGCAAACCATTTCTCGATAGATCTTGTTTTGTATACTGAGACATCGTCATGCTGAAACAGGAAAAGGTCTTCCCAAATCTGTTGTTCCAAAGTTGGAAACATAATTCTGAGGAATGCCATTGTATACTGTAGTATTCAGATTTCCCTTCACTGGAGCAAAGGGGCCCAAACCATGAAGCACAGTCCCAGACCATTATTCCTCCTCATCCAAACTTTATAGTTGCCACTGTGAGTTCAGGCAGGTATCCCCTAAACCCATATTTATCTGTCAGACGGCCATGTGGTAAAGCGTGATTCATAATTCCAGAGAATGTTTACAGTTTTATGCACCTGTTAGCACTGGGTGCGGCTTAATTAGCCAAACCCACAACTTATAATAATTATCCACATACATTTGCCAATGTATCTTATATGCTACAAAAGGTTTATCACTCAAAACAAGATAAGGAGAAAGAATCTCTGCTATATATCATCTCTGTATATATAAGGACCTTAGCAACAGATGAGAACATAATTTATTTGATTACTTGGTAATTAAAGCCAGTTCATTAAAAATGTACATCCCTGATTGCTGTCTCCTGGATAACAACGTTTCAGGTTCTCCATGATGAGAATTTTCAGTATTACAGTATGTTTAAATCACTCACTCAGTGCCAAGTCTCCTTAATTTATACACTAAAATGCCATGTTTGACTGTATGATGGTGCTGTTTGCAGCCACAGGTTCAAACTTACCTTAATTAGATCTATTAATTTTTAGTTAATGTGCACTCATGTGTAGCACATTACATTACAGTCTGCTGAATGTGAACACCGGCCGTATTAGGTGCTAATTAGCCATAGATAAGCTTTGAATGTCGTTGATTATCTGTTTTTTGCATAGTCCTTAATTACCTGTCAGAAATGGAACACGGATGACACCATTATTTCTTAATCAGTGACCAGTGTCTTTAATGAGCATCTCGGCTCCCTCTCATGGCATATTCTTTCAATTATCATTCACGCCCATGAGCTCCTGTCTGCTAATAGAAAAAAAACTCAACTGTAAATTCATTGTGCAAATACTGGTTAGGTTTCAGAGATTCAGAGAACCATGTTACTGCTCTTTTATAATCATCTTCAGTTACACTGTAAGTCCCATTCTGCAAGGAATGTGTGCTGTGTCACCATGAAGGTGGTTAAAAAACATTGTTGCAAGTAGGAAACAAAACCGTGTGTCTCCACTTTGGTCATTTTTGACGTAATTGGAAAATGTGTGGCTCCCTGCAATTTTCTTGATGAACGAAACAATAAAATGCTGCAAAATGTGTCATCCGCCAGCCCTTCACAGGTGGTCAGTTGCTGACCACAAGACCATTGTTTGCTGGATATTTGTGGCTGGAAACGTTAAGTTACATTGAGATAAACGCCCAGCAATAGTGTGATATGCACCTGTACCAGTGTAACACACTCTAACATACCACTACCATTTTGGTGTCTCTGCTGTGCTCCAAATGTTTTATCACCCTAATAAAATCTGGTCACTGGTGGTCCTATGGTGGTCCCTTTCCATTACTGGATGAGGTAGAGGGTGACTGATAAATTGCAGCAACAGATGATCTACAGTCAATAACAGTATACCTGTGAAGTGCATCTACATAGTACGTTTTTCTGATTAAATGGCCATTGAATGTGCATACAAGGTAAGAGTACCTTATAAACTGGAAAGTATGCATGACTGCACACTGAGAGGTTCCTTCACACTTTCAGTCTTTCAGTTTAGCCTGAGAGATTCACAGTGGCTTGTCAGAGTGTCTCTTGTGCTCTCCAAACACAGGCACTACTGTGAAGGTGTGTTTCCAACACTGACTGCTCACCACTCAGTTCAGACCTATTATCTGCTTAGACATGGCTAACTGCATCATTAAGCCCTTATTTTTCACTCTGCCTCTGCAGCTGTAATTGATGAAAACAGAGCAGGGTCGATAGCCTGGAGTCTTCCCACATGTGAGGGGCCTATATAGACCATCATTCCCCTGTATAAATCTGTCTGTGAGAGCGACAATTGATTTAAGTGAGTTTAATAAGGCAGTGAATGGCAATGTGGTATAAGCATGAGACTAGAGAGGAGTTAGCATAAAGTGCTTGTGAGAAATGCATGTGGATGCACTCGTATATTTTCATGTGCATTGTCCTGTGAAAAAGGCAGACTACCCTGCTTTTCTGCTTCTTACAATCCAAGTAATCTCAAACACCAGCTTCTTGACAGCTACACATTTTTTCAGACCCATAGCTTTGAGTTGCTTCCTCAGTGGAAGGATGGACAGAAACGTGTATTTTTCAGATCTGAAGCAAGAGTGGAGCTTGATTTTCTCTTATCTCTCAAAGATGAATGCTTTAAGTTCTATTTATCTGATGGTGACAGTTTTGGTGGTCTACCAGGTCTTGCACTTTTGTTAGGATTCCCATTTTCTCTGTCTCTCTTTTTATTTTTCCCTCCTTTATGCTATTGGTTTATTTTAAATCTTCCTAAAAATATCTCCAGAAAAAGAATCACTTTTGCATAGTGACCATTTTGAGAGGGAATTTAAATAAATAAAGGGTGGTCTCTGATTTTTGCACAGTACTGTACATACTGGATAAACTGCTGTGTGGTGGTTTTTCCAAACTTGGTGTGTCTACAGTGATAGTGCTGTGTGAAATCAGCTGGGAGTCGACCCTATTGCTGCCGCAGGGAGAGAGGCTTATCAAGCGGAAACAGTGCTAGGATGGGGGAGCGCGCTTGTGTGCGTGTGTGTGAATCTCCCACTCGTAAATGTAATAAGAGGAAACCTTTTTTTGACAACATGCCTAGATGGGTTTTACTGTGTGATTGAATTAAATAACTGTGTGTGTGTACGTGTGTGTGTATGTATGTGTGTGTGTGTGTGTGTGTGTGTGTGTGTGTTTTGTAAAGAAAGGGTTTCCTTGACACTAGACAGGGCAAGGCCAGCTGAGTGCTCACATTAAGAATGAGTGTGTGAATATTTGAATGATAGGTCACCTCTGAATGGCTGTGCTAAATACCATTATGTTTAAATGACTGTATCTCCCAATTTGTTGGTGTCGTTACAGACTAGCTGAGAGCAGCGGAGGATTCCTCAATAGTTTGGGCTAATTCTGTGTTTTTTCTTCCACAGCTGGACAATGTGGATGAGCAGGCAGCACAGATCCGCAGAGAATTGGATGGGAGGTTGCAGCTCACTGAGAGAATTGCCAGAGTATGTCATCAGAGCTCCTGTTTTAGTGTTGTTGTGAATTCAGTTACACTGTATGTGTGTGTTGTACAGTTCTTGTCACGTATATTGATCCCTGTTGTATTGCATGTCATCAGCATAGACATTACAGAGAATTTGGTCGGGTGTTTTCACTTCTTACAGATTACGATTTGGTCCCCTGGAGTGTTTGAGAGAATTCCAAAGCTTTGTTTTGTTCTCCCAGCACACAAAATGGCTTACATTTGGGCATGTTTGGCAAGATTTCACATTTATTCATTTAGCAGATGCTCTTTTCCAGAAACATTTCATGCAGTCTTTTGAAATGATAATAGTTTTCTTGCTTGTTTATAGTTGGCAAATTTTCCCAACACCACAAATGATCAAATCACAGGGCCTGCTCCAGACACTTGTTTTAGCAGCAACAAAAACTGCTTCTACAGTTCTTTCTTGTTCATGTATAGATTTTTGGAAGGGCACAAATCTCTGTATTAGTGATTCCCAGCCCTAGTCCTGCACATTTTGTTGTTTTACCTGCTCCCAAAAAACCTGATACAACTCGTCAGCTAATTAACAAGCTCTTCCTGAGTTGAAGTGGATGTATTAGATTAGCGAAAATACAAACATGTGCAGGACAGGGGGTACTTTATGACAAATGTTGTGAATCAATGTGCTCTGAATCAATCAGAGATGAAAGCATGTATTATAATTTATATCATATGTGAAAACGTTATGGCAAAACTATTTAGGACTACATATCTACAGTGGCCTTGTTATTGAAAGTTTTGTGTCACATGCTTTTCCTTGACATATTTACCCAAAATATCCTCGGTAGGAGAGGAAGTACCCTAAGTTTGTGTCAAAGGACATGGAGATGATGTATGTTGAGGAGCTGAGGTCATCTATTAACCTGCTAATGGCTAACCTGGAGAGCCTGCCTGTAGCCAAAGACTTGAAGCCCAAAATCAAGCCAAAACTCACACCTATGAACAGCTTTCTGGACATAGGAGACGAGAATGACCTGCCCCTCTCCAAATCAGATGTAGTGCTGTCTTTCACTCTAGAGGTGAGTGACACATCCCCTGCATGCTTCATTCCAAGATTTCATGTTTCCGTGTGTTTACTCTCAGAGGAATTTTGTTGTGCAGTTCTGTCACATTGAGTGAGTCTTTTTTTAATGTAAGGGAAATTATGGCACAACCTCGTACATTTTGATTTTTATTAAATAATTTTAAATATGTTTCAGCAAGATTTTTTTTATGTAGTCAACCTACACATCTTTGCTACAAATGAGCATGTAAACTCTGTTTCCTGCACATATTGTTTATAAATAATTCAGCCAAAAGTGGCAGGAATGCACACGTTAAAACCAACCCCATAGGCAATTAATAGTAGATTAATAGTCTGAAGGACTAATTGTGACTGTCGCTAAAATTAATTCAAAACAAATGTGTTGTTCGAACCAAACAAGCCTTCCAACCTGAGTAACTCCACTGTGTGGAGGCTGTACTTTAACCTGGCTAGTTCTTACTGTGAGTTGTTTACATGCTTAAAAATTGTGTTCTGTTACAGTCACCAAGAAGGTGAATAAAGTAACATTGGAGTGAATTCTATGACTTATACACACAACTCAGTAATCAGAAAACACTTATGATCCAAAAACTTTTTTTTTTACTTTTATTGTTACTTTTGTTTAGTGAATCTGGAGAAATACATGTCTGATTACTGTCAATATTTGCACATGCTGTTGCTATGGGAATATGCAAATAGGACTAAAAGCATGTTTTACTTGAACCTGTTTGACTACTATAAATGTAGTTGCTGTCAAAAAAATCTCCAAATAGCAACTTTACAAGAAATTTTGTAGCATTTTTATTGGTCCACTCATCATAAACTTTTCACCAAACGTAAAGAGCAGCTGCTGTGCACAAATGATGTAGAAAAAATAGAGATAATTAGGGTTTTTTGGACAGCAACGATATCTGTGTTACATTTTACCCCTCATTAATTTGTGCCTCCCTCTTCTACCTACAACATTCTGTTTCATGGATATGTCTAACCTAAATCCTGTATGATAATATAAATATGCTATCAGTATCTGTATTTCTTTTTTTTGATTTTGTTTTTGCCAGTGATCCTCAGATAATGTAGCAAATTCCCAGGAACCCAGTAAGAACATGGCCATCTGTACACTTGTTACTTTTAAGCATTTAAGCACAGGTTCAGTTCTGCAGTGTAGTAGCAAGGTTTAAGGTGGATAAGCTGCTCAGTGGCCCTTCAAGATGTTCACACAATTGCATTGGTGATATTTGGATTCAGTACAGCAAGTCTATTATAAACAATAAGATAAAAAATAAAGTGCAAAATAGCGCAGTAGGTGCAAATTAGCAAGACATTGTAAACACCTCATAAGTTCTACATAATGACAGATGTTGAAGTGTGACATAATGAAGATGTTAGACTGTCTGGACTGTTCCCTTTGAAAATTTTGATTACATTCCTTATAAAATAAGTGTCTGCACAGTGTGAGGTGCCATAGTCCTCTTTTGTTTTCTGTGCAGATTGTGATCATGGAGGTACAGGGGCTGAAGTCAGTGGCTCCAAACAGAATTGTGTATTGTACCATGGAAGTTGAAGGAGGAGAGAAGCTTCAGACAGACCAGGCAGAGGCATCCAAACCACAGTGAGTACCGAAAACCCTTAAGCTTGATGCAGCCTGTCTTTTATAATGACAGAATTTGGATGTTATTGGAATGTCTAATTGCCAGTCTCAGAAGTTTAATCCAAACTCCTTATCCTTATGAGCCCCTTATGAGCCTACAGAGCCATAGCCCAACTCCCATGTTTGTATAAGCACAGGTCAGTTTGACACAAGGTGCTGTCGCAGTGCAGGAGTCAGTGTGATGTCAAGCTGACCTTTCATGCTGGTGTCTAGAAAGCATGATTATACATGGCAGGCTTGCCAAAGCTGGGACAATGTGTGAAATGCCTTTCAATTCAGTTTGACCTGTATTAAACAGACCAGAAAAGTACAAAAACGTAATATTTGATAATTTACCTTATGAACTTTTTTTGGAGAATATACACGCATTCCAAATGTGATGCCTGCAGCTTGTTCCAAAAAAGTCAGGACAGGAGCATGTTTACCACTGTGTTGCATCACATTTTCTTTCAAGCTGCACTTCCAGAGTGTGGCTTGCTGTTGTCATGTTGAAGTAAGCATTGAACGTCCCTGAAGATACATTGTCTAGAATGCCGGACATATTTCTCCAAAGTGTGTATGTATTTTTCTGTGTAAATGGTTCCTTCACAGATATGCATGTTATCTATGCCAAGATTGTGTTTGCCTTTGCAATGGCCTGGAGAATACAACAACATTGTGTTCTGCAGGCCAAAGAAGAAAAGAACCATCCAGACTGTTACCAGTGTAAAGTTCAAAAGCCAGCCTCTGCAATAGTGTGGGGGTGTATTAGTGTCTATGCTATGGAAGGTAAGAATAGAATCTACGGACACTTAAGAGCACAAAGGTGAAACAATTCTATGGTTTAAGTATGTATCATGAATCTAATTTAGACTTTATTTTAGGACCTTTCTCAAGAACACATTTAAGAAAAAACTAAAGAAGATATTCGTGAATGAGGTCCATTGTTCTTAAACTTTTTGATTTTTGCTGATGTATTTTTGGGTAAAGTCAACTCATCCTTGCCCATAAAGGACTAAACTAGGGCTAACCAAAATATGGTCAACCGGACAAAGCTTGGCCCATTATTTTATTTTATTTTATTTTATTTAAAATTGCGTTTGTCATTTAGTAACAAAATACTGTGTGTATGTTGTTATAATGTTCTAAAATACATACAAAAAATAGTTTTTGTATATTTATACATTGATTTGTCTCTTTGGCCTTTGGCCCAACACAAACATTATGCTTTGGCTCACTTTTGGCACTTTAGAAGACAAGGTGTTTGGGAACCTCTGGATGAGACCTTTCCTGGATGCTCCTGTCATGCCCAAGCATGATTGCTAGAACTGTATGAGATGTTTTTGGACATTATACAAAGTTTTTAGTCTTAATTTGCCCTTCCTTTGTGTGTTGCAGGCATTAATTTCAGAATAAGTGTATAATAAAAAAAACAGTGAGGTTGATTTCAATTACTCTCTTAACTTTTTTTGGAATTGTGATTTGTAAAATACTACCATAGTATTCCAAGCATAGTTCTTCAATGCCTTCAAATCAGTGACCTGTATTATATTTCAGTCGAGCTCGCAATATTATATTGACCCACTGCAGGTCAGATCCCTTGTGAATGCTCCGAAAAATACTTCTGGCATTTTGTGGTTTGCTTGCAGAATAAGGGCATGTGTTGTGGTGTGAGTACCTTGAGGTCTCATCAGCTCTGTGATAGCACACTTATTGGCATTACAGGCATATTTTAAATGGACTGAGCGGGATGCTCTGAAGTGCAAATGTCTGAAATGCAAAATGCTATTCTTTATATAAGACAGAGTGGCCTGCACCCTCTATGTATGTGAATGGAGGCCGTGGATATTATTCAAAGTCTCTTGAAGGCTTTTCTTTGTTACATAACCCAATGAGAAGCCCTAATGGCTTTGTGGTCCAGTCTACTTGAAGTCATGTCTGCAGAAATGATAGGACTGACCTCAGTTGCACTGTGAGTAAAAGCCACTGTTTTGCGGGCTTGTAGGAGGAAGAGTGAAGCTTTTAGCCTGTGTGATGACTTGTGTCTGGGAATGCCTCATAATGTTTTTGTGTATGCTAGTGTGCACTCATGGGAAGGAAATTTAAGGACATGGTTGGACGTTGTGATGTTTTACCATCTTGACACAGCACTGTTTATACAGAGGTTCCCTTAAGGACAGATGTCTGTTTCTACCAGTGCATGCACAGATTGAGTCTGTCTTCTCTTTTCCTGAGTTTGCGCCACTGCCCTCAGGTAATATGCATGCTATTCCACAGTTAGCTTTCAAAAGCATGTTCCCATATAAATCTCTACTGTACATGTTCCAGCATAATACACGATTAAGCTTCATGCTTTTATTTTTGGGGCATGTTGCAAGCGTGCGCATTATTTAAGTGGCAGCTGAACTGTGTTGAACCTCCAACTTTTTAAAGCTTTTAATACTGTGGTGGCATTGGCAGTGCAAGGGAATTGCCCTTAGCTCCGATGACTGGTATATTTGAATAGCAGCTAGGAGGAAAGATTTATCAAGCCCAGATGAGCTCCGCCGCTGATGATATTTGGCAAAAGGCAGGTGCCCTTTGCGCGTGTCATCTGGAGCACTGAATGGATCGATTATTCAGTTCAGTCTCATTTAGCACTCTCATTTAGCCTCATTTATCATCATACCGAGAATGACTATTAGTAATTACTCATCTTTGGGGAAATACGATAATGCAAAAAACTTTGGTCAGATGCATCTCTTAACCTTTAATAGAAAGGCAAGGATTTAGTGAAGTGCAGTATTTCTTGCCTTGACGCTTGCTTGTGCTCCTCCATCTTTTTTCTCTCACTGAGCCAGCCACCATCCCATTGTCTCACTCTGTGTGCACTTGAAATTGAAATGTCTCTTTTAATAATTTGATTAAGGTGAGTGTGTGGCTCTGCTGTGCGTCTATGATATGATTCCGGCACAGTTATTAGGCTTTCTGCTGCTCAGCCTCGGCCCTTTAGATAATCGCACTGCCCTTTCCTCATATGCACTCACCAGAAAGTTCATTGTAAATTATTCAAGGAAATTTAAGCAGGACCTCTCAATGCAGCATCCTTTTAATTATCATGAATTAGCATGTCCATACTGTCTACATATGACAACTACATTTATACATCCATTTACCCAGCCTACCACAGTTTATCTCACCCGTTCACATTGTGTATAAAGAGCGCTTCAATCTGGATTGTTTATTGACTGAAACGAGGTCATGTATATATGCAGTACTGTACAAAAGTCAGAAACCACTTTTCATTTATTTAATTTCCAGTCAAAGCAGCCATTAAGTACAAGTTGTTTATTTTTCAGGAGACAGGCCTGAGGAGATCAGATATAAGATAATCCACTTGCAAAAAGACGGAGTAAGTTAAAGGAAAAGTGGTAAAAAAAAGGAAATGGGCGTGATTAAAAGACATAAAAATGGGTCTCCTAACAACCACGCAAGACCTGGTAGATCAGCAAACCTGTCACCATCAGATAAACAGAGCTTAAATCTTTAAAGCTTTGAGAGAGAGGAGAAAATCAAGCTCCACTCTTACTTCAGATCTGGAAAAATCCACCTGTTTCTGTCCATCCTTCCACTGTGAGAAGACAACTCAGCACTATGAGTCTGAAAGGATGTGCAGTTGTCAAGAACCGTTACTGTGAAAAGAAAACGGATTAAAATGATTTTTTTTAAAGATTAAACAAAGAAGCTGCTGTTGTTCTCGGAACAATGACTGACCACCCCAGAGGTTAGAAAATGGGCATGTGAAAAGTAATTATGAATTATGTTTTAGTACATAAACCCACTCTTGTCACAAGGATATATAAAAGACAAGAAAATGCAGGATATGAGCCATTTAAACCTGCCTACTGTCACAGATGTTAACTGTTCATGTGCCCCGCCCCCTTTCAGGTAAATATTTAAAGTGAAAATGGCCGAAACAACATTTTGTTGCATTTGAAATGTACGAGAAAGACTAGATGATCTGCACTTTCAGTTTTTTCGTTTATGTATCATTTTACCAGTTTAGCAGTTCCCAGTCTGTTTTACTCTCAGTTTGGTAGTTAAGGTCAAATGTACTTGCAAGAAGCTACAAGCAGATTTGTACTTTAAATCTGACATTTTGTCCACAATCTGCTCACGTCTTATCTAATGTTCCCACATGCAGTGTTTCAAAGGAAACTCATACTCAGCCTCAAATAGATATGCTTAATCAAGCATGTGACACATTTTCACTTGCTTAAGTTTGTATGTGATTGGCTGCAGGCACTAGAAACAAGATATTCTATACATGGACAAGTAGAGCCTTACTTTTTAGATAACACAGACACAGAGATAAAGTGATTCCAGGAGCAGGGCTACAGCCAAATTGAATAAGAAGCAACCAAGGGCGTGTGTGTGTGTGTGTGTGTGTGTGTGTGTGTGTGTGTGTGTGTGTGCGTGCACACTTGTGTGTTATTGTGCACATTCTTTTGTTCAAGTTAGTCTTGGTCAGGTTTGTGCACTCTTAGCTAAGAGAAGACTATGTCTCTTCGGGGTGAGGAAAAATCGATACAGTGTAATATTGATATTCAGCTTTTTATTTAGTGATATTTTACCTTAAATAAATAGAAGTAATATCAGTACACAGAGACCCAAGAATCACACTTTTTTATTGAATTAATATTTCTAACATGTATTAATCATATTGTTAGACTAAATAGATTTCTAATTTTTTTTAATCCACAAGGTGGCATTGTTTTTTTATGATGACAAAAAGGCTTTTGTCAGTTTTGTCGTTGTTACATTACAGTTAAATAGTGAATAACATTCTCACTGAGAACAGAGTTTGATCCCCCCACTTAGGGAAGAATCAAAAACACTGCTATAGTATAAGAGTAAGAGTAAGAGTCCCTGGGCGAGATGTTACCTTTATCTGCGTTTGTAAACAAATGTATCTGCAAATATATGTAAGGAATTTTTTTTTTTAAATGTTGTTTGGTTTTTCCATCTGAATTTACATGACCAAATCGTAAGGCAACTTGTTCAGTAACTGCATGAAATAAATATAATTTTTTATTTTATTTATTTATTTATTTTTTGTAAATGTTCCCCTCAAATTAACAGAAAATGTGTTTTATGATCATACACATATTGCTAAATGCTTACAATTTACTGCTGAAAGCCAAAAATCTTAGACACTCTTTGTATTTTTTTTATAAAAATAATTTTTACAGAGTATATCACTGAAGAGACACCATCTGCTTATAGTTTATAGCCCAGATTTGTGGAAAAATGGATCAACTTTCAGTAGACAAAAAAAATTGTGAGTTCAGCTTCTTCTATTATAAGAGTCTAAAATTAAATTACCCATCTATTTGACAGCTCTCATATGACACCTATCTTTTGAATGTAGCTTATGAAATATGAAAGTTACGAAGAATATGCGTTTTGGAACCACCGGTGGTCTCAAGGAGTTGAAAAGGTTAACTTAAAGTATGAAGACGTACCTTTGATAGTTCCACCCCAGTGACAGTATTTGTACCCTGAAGGCTGCACTTTTTTCTGAGAGTGTAATACACGGGTTGAGTCTGTAAAATATGAATCTGGTCAGCAATTCAGAGAAGAGAAGATCCTTTATTACAGCTCCAGCCACAAGGAGGATGATGATGGTGATTAGTTGGCAGTAGGTGTAGTACAGAGTGTGGGTTAAAGAACGTGTATGTATAAGTGTGGTCTGTAAATGAAAAAGAATAATAGAAATGTAACCACGAAGGCAGGGATAGTGACATGCCTTTTTAATGATGTTCACTGTGATCAACTGTTTCTTTCTAAATGAACTACTGGGTTTTTCCTGTACTTTGTAGTTGGTACAGATTTGTATTAAACCACAGTGTGGTTCACATTGCTGTTCCAATGTGTATTTGCTACACACACCAGCATTTCTCCAGGACTCTGTGAAAAGAAAACACTCTTTTTTTTCATGGTGAAATATAAATATGTCAAAGGCTTTTATTAAAGCACACAATCTTAATTCATAAAGTATTATACAGAAATTGTGCAGAATTGTGGTTCACTGCTAATAGTGGTGTTTGGTTGCCTTGGAAACTGGGGGGTTTAGAAATGGCAGCTCTACATTGTTGTGGCATCCAGTCAGCCCCTAAGAGCTGTGAGGTCATTTAAAGTATGTGCAGACAGCACTATACACACTCATTATTTCTGTGCTGCTTTAGATTGAGTGTGTATGTGACTGCTAAGCTGCTGAGTCACAGCGACGAGTCCTTATCTGCTTCAGAGTCCAAAGTGTCTCCCCATGTTACCTAGCTGGCTGTCTAGCCTGACCGCCTGCTTCTGTTTACTGTCATACAAAAGATTTATACAGCACCAGGACATGCAAACACAGACGCACACACCCAGAATGCAGTGTGCCTACCTCTTACTGAAGCCTTTTCAGTGAATGGTTGTTTGTGCATTTTTCCAGTATAAAACCACAGGTCTTTGAGGTGAGGTGATTGAAGTAATAGATCTATTAGGGAATGATATGGGAATTGTGAGTTAATGCTGATATCCTGTATTTTTCATGCACATGCAGTGGGGTGTTCAAAGGTTTAATTTAATAGAGTTTTTATTTTCAGTTGTGTTTTTAGCATTACAATTTTGGTAAAAAAAAAAAAATCCTTTGGACATTTTAGCATCAATTTCAAAATATCTGTAAAAAGATGGTTCTTCAAGGGTTTTTTTAGTAAAGGGGATTGATCTATATAGAACCATTTCATGCTTAAATGGTTCTTTGCATAGTAAAATGGTTCTTCAGATTGATGAATAATGTGTTGTATATGGTTACAGAAACTTTTTGAGAGTGGTTCTATATAGCGCCAAAAAGGGTTCTGCTATTGTTAGAAGCTTGACATGGTAATAATAGAAGAACCCGTTTTGGTCCATTTTCAAAAAGGCTCTATAGAGAACCATATACAACACAACATATTCTCCATCAATCTGAAGAACCATTTCACCATGAAAAGCATGGAAAAAGCATGAAGTGGTTTTTTATAAAACTCATTGTTCTAAACAGAACATTGTCTTTACTAAAGAACCCTTGAAAAAAATATTTTTTTAAGAGTGTAGGATTTGGTATTTTCCCTTTCTGTTTTAATGACCGTGTGCACTTGAGCTGGCATGGACTCCACAAATATGTGTAAAAGCCTCTAATAAGTGGATGAAATATTTTTTAAAAATGCAAATATAGCCCAGGTGACATTTAGATAACACTGACAGCACAGTATTGCAGCATCACCCAAACAGTCTGTTCTTCTGCAGTACAAAAAAGATCATCAAATATTGTTTGAAATGTCAAATCTAAACATCTGTCCAGTGGCAGTATTATTTGTGCAAATGTTAATGTTATCAAAAGAGCACTTTCAGTTCATGTGAAAAAAATGACTTACATTTCTGCCTTTAGAAGAGATGATAACGGTGAAACGCAGTATTTTGATGTAATACTTACTTGTGTGTTTTTTTACTCTGCCATCATTGCTAGAAATTTGTCTTGGTATTACAGCCAGCAACACGGTGACAACCATGTCAATATTTACACCACACACTTACAAAGGTGTGAGACAGCAGCAAGACACACACACAATCCAAACAAACCCTACTTTTTCATTTGATGGGAGGAACATTTGTTGCTGTGTTTTATTTTAAGGCCAGTGCTATTTTTTGCATGAAGTGATGAAATGATGGCACCCAAAACACTGGGTGATTTTTGCCGGTGTTGTTGACATTAATGACTAGTGGGTTAGAGCCAGCTGAAATCCAGCATTTGATCTGAGCAACAGATTGTTGGGCACACGCTAGCCATCCATGGACATGCTGTTATGTTCTTGTGCAGGTGGGGCACACAGGGGGACTTCACCACCACCCACCCTCTGCCTGTGGTCAAAGTGAAACTCTTCACTGAAAGCACTGGTGTTCTGGCCCTGGAGGACAAAGAGCTGGGCAGGGTGAGGCTCATCCAACAACTCACCTTTTTTTCATTCATTCAGTTATGGTTGTGTAAGTGCTGTGCCAGGGTTCCAGACGGTTCTGTATAGCACCAAAAAAAGTTTTTTGACTTGCAACAATAGTGGAACCCTTTTTGGTGCTATATAGAACCATTTTTAAAAAGGTTCTTTAGCAAAGAATCATTTAGCCATGCAAAGAACCATTTATGCATTCACAGGGTTCTTTGAGTATTCACACTTTTACATTTAACCATTGCTTATAACAACAGAACCCATTAAGAACCAACTTTTTATGCATTTAAGGATGGGATGGTTACCAGTTTTAACGATATATCTTAGTATAATATCCAGTGATCATCATGCTAATTCAAATGTTTATTTTTCCGATAACCATCTTTTTAAGTCTCAGCGCAAGTGAACAGGAACTGCTACAGTCCACTTGCAGAGAATGCTCCAGGGCAATGTTTAGATGATATGTTTGGTCATCATCTGAACAGTAAACAGTAGTAGTGCTGGTGATGCTTTCACATTTACAGTACTGTGCAAAAGTCAGAGACCACCTTAATTTATTAAATAGAAAAAAAGAAGAAAAATTGTTTTCTTAGCTCAATGAACTGACCACCACAAAGTCCAGACCTCAATTGCATGTGTTTGGGATTATTTGGATCCTGGGAAGCAGAAAATGCAACCAACTTCTAAGACTGAACTTTGAAAGTGTGAAAAAATATCCCTGCAGATTTCTTTAAAAAAAGCTGAAAGCAAGTCTCCTGAAAAGGATGGAAGCTGTAATAAAGGAAAAGGATAGACACTGAATACTGAAAAAAGCTATTATATTATATTTAGTTGTTAAAGCTTCTGTGTAGTTTTCTTTTAAATGTATGTTTTCTGCTTTTTTCCTGACACAGTAAGAGTAAAAAGTGTAAAATTGTAGTTAATGACTATTTTGACTGAAAATGAAAGAAACAAAGGGTGGTTTTTGACTTTTGCGCAGTACTGTATTTAAATTGTTGTTGATTTTTTATTTTTTTTTATTGGTGTTAAGTAGAAGTTCAACATTGAAGTAGAAAACCCTTAGAGCAGTTATATCAATATGTATTAGGGCATTTCAGTATATTTGAACAGTACCAAGATAACACGGAGAAACATGGTCATTTGCATAAGTGATGTAATATTATAATATAATAATAGGAAATGTGTATACAATTTGCATACCTAGTGCATAGTATAATATGATGTCTCACTGTTCCATCTCATCCTATCAGCTAATTATCAAGCTTCAAACTGTACATTAAACAGTGTTTATTATTACAATAGTTACATTAATACTGTAGTGCCCTTGCTGTATGCCATATATCACTGTAAGATGGTATGGGGGGGGCAGATGTTGCACAACAACTTATAAGCTGTGTGTGAGTCAGAGCTGCATGAAGGAAATCTTGAAGTCATTAGGGCTCAAGCTCCCAGGGTAACAGATGGAGATTCCCATTAGAATCCCTCACCAGGCATCTGCACCTCTTCCATCTACTTCCGCCTCCCTTTAATGGCTCTCTCTGTATCATTTCCTTTCTCCATCACTCACTCTTTTCTCTCTTGTATATATCCATATGCTTTCTGCTTTTCTCATGTGCCTGGTATCTTGTTTCTTGGTTTGATCAGCTCTCTTTTCTTAACCAGGTGGTATTGAACCCTACAACAAACGGGCCCAAGACTGCCGAGTTGCACAAGATGGTGATCCCCAAAAATAGCCAGGACACAGATCTGAAGATCAAACTGGCCGTGCGCATGGACAAGCCCCCCAACATGAAGCACAGCGGGTACGTTTACCCCTCAGGGTGTTCTCACAGCTCCCTCATGAGCACACATATTAAAAAAGGCTGGGCCACCTGCTCCATGTTTTTATATACCGAGTAAAAATAATGATAGCAGCCAATGCTTGGAGCTGTTATGTGCTGGAATTCTGTGCAGAAAAAGTAAAAATAACTTTTTAAAGACTTTGTCAAATGAATGCCATTTCATATTTGGGGCACATTTGAAATGCTGTCATTCTGTAGAAGAGCTGTCAAAATAATCTGCAGTATTTGTATTGATTGTATTTAATCTGTTTTCTTTTCCCAGAAGGGGGCAGCAGAGATCTAGTTTATTCCACAGAGTCTCAGTCAGTTTTTTTTGTTTTTCAATCACTTTCAATAACCTTGTCACCTTGATAAAATAGGCCAAAAGATATGATCTGTGTTACATTTATTTCTGAAAAAGTTGCCTGTTCATTTATAGAGTTTATTCATTCCTACATCAATGCACAAAGTACTTAGCCATGTGAATCAGTTTTAGAAAAGAATGATGTTGCCATCTAGAGGCCAAAGATTGTCTCACCGAACTTTGGAAAAGGTGTATACACAAGTTGACTTGTTTTTTCTGTACTGTTCTGTATGTAACACATGGGCAACTTAAAATGTATAATATGTTCTTAGATCATCACTTTGTCACTAAAGCACTGATAAGCCATGTAGTCTGTGATTAATGAGTGCTCATGACTGAAGACCATGGCAGTTCCTGTAGATTCCATATAGCAAGGCCACTGGAGAGGCGCAGCCCAGCAGACTGCTGTGTTCCTCCCTCTGTACGGCTAGGTCAGGGGGTCGGCTCTCTGCCATTAGCCTACTAATTATGGAGGAGGCCCAGCAGGCTCTGTCCATAGAGCTGCTCGCTGCGAGGCTCAGTCTAATTGGAAGAAGCCTCTTCAGTCTGTTTTTACCATTTTGTGTCTGACCTCACCAGCAGTCTTAAAGCAGTCCTGGAGCTTCACTTATGGAGATTGGCAAAATACACATAGTTACATGTGACAGGATGACATAATGTGACGATTATAAGTGATGATTATTTCATTAAGTCCTTGAACACAGTTGCATATAATTCTATAATGATAGTTTAATGATCTAGTTAGTTTAATGTTGTCTGGTAATGTACTTATTAATCATTACTGCTTGACTGCTTGAACTCATGAATCCAGGAGAAAATTACTGCCGATGTTGAAGGTTACATGTGATTTCCTAGGCAACCAGTGTAATTTTCATGTTCCTAAAGAAAATAGTTTTCTTGTAAGTATGGCAACCACCGCCAGGCACTGATCTATCACCTGTTTCTCTGAACTCATGACATGCTATTATAAAGCCTATGAAAAGGCTGGCTATTGCTGGGCGGTTTGTGCAAAAGCCCTGCAGGGGCACTTGACTCAGAGCGGATGTTATTTTTCTTTTAAGCTATAGCTCAAACGTAGCCTGATTGCTAGTGATGTCATTTCAAGTCCTTCAAGAACATCTTCTGAGCCTTCAGATCAGCATCAATGATTAACAATTTTTTCTTCCCCTCCTGCCTTTGCTGTAGCATTTCAGCCGTTTGCCAGGTTAGATCCAGACTCTGCCAGTTTCAGCTGAACACTAACAAGCGCACGCACACACCTGAGGACTTTTTCGTACATAAAGGAAAAGGACTGGAAGAGGATTTTCAGGTTGAATGCTCCCCATTAAAAGCAGCCATCTGTTTAGCAATGGAGAGAGTGAAGAATGGGGAACTATTCAGTTTATTGAGTTTGGCAGCGCGACCCCTCCACGGCTCAGAACGGGACAGCCGCCAGCTTTGGGCTGATCGGGCTTTTGTCTGTCTGCGTCTGCCTGTTTCTCTCTTTCCGTCCTTCTCTCTTTCTTTGCTTTCCCCTTGCTCGCTTTCTCCCCCTCTCTGTGTCTGCCTGTCAATGTTTTTCCTTTTCCTCTCTCATTTTCTTTTTCATAATTCTGTAAAACCCTCATATTGTGTATCAGTAAAAGCAGAAAGGGCGTAGGTCAGGGCTCCTTCACTCTTTAAGTGACCGCTGCCCCTCGAACAATCTCTTCTGATCTCTTCTTCACTCTGAGGTCACAACACATTCACTTTGTCTTTTAATGCTCTTTTCTTTCTCTTGCCATCCACAGATGGCCAGCACTCTCAACAAGAGCTTCAGTAATGACAAGCTCCCTTATTGCCTTTACCCACTGATTGCATGTTGATTGAGCAAAAAGGGGGAGGACATTATTTGTGCTGTAACATATGTGTGTGTGCACATGCATTTCTGTAATGCAGTATATTAGAATGTGCTGTGCATTACAGTCTGTTAAATTAATTCCTCGCGTTTCAAAATGTGAATTTTAAAATGCTGTAGGATTTTAAATAATTAATGTCTAAGCTTTATATGTAACTACAGTCTCCTGTTATTAACATTATGTGCTACAGAAGCTCTGTATAAGCTATTAATATTGTGGATGTTTAACACTGTACTATGCTGATGGTGTTTATAATAAATCATAAAGGTAGAGTTAGTCTATTTTAGATTACTAGTAGAAATAGACTTTTATAAAGCCCTCAGGATCTGCCTTTCTGGTTATGTTAGCATGTAATTGAGAGGGTTAGCACAACAGCAAGCACTAATAAAATATGCTAAGCTGATTTTAGCGTCCTTAGAAAGCAGCAAGAAAACATGCTTGAGAGTCTCACTGTAGCAAATCCTGAGTGCTGAAAATACCTTGTCAGTCTCTTCAGTTAAGTTACACAGTTGTATTTGCTCTCCTTCTAAAATGTAAGTTCTTTCAGTTTAGTCACAGGCTCATGAGAATTCTCAGAAAACTACAACACACATATTGTCCTTATGATCAGTTCATCTGTTGGCTGTACCCTGCTGAAAAACATCATAGAAACTATTAACTAGTTTCTGTTGGTTCCTGGTGGAGCCCAACAGTCAGTAACGTTAATAGTATTCTGTGTTTTAAGAAACCATCAGGTTTTAATCCTAATGGTTCTAATGATCTTTTTTTAAGCAGGGCAGTAACTTAAGTCATAATTTATTCTGTATCCAGGCACCCTGGGTGGAATATGCCTTAAGAAAGTGCAATACAGTATGATTCATTAGCTGTAAACTCCTTTACCTGAATGATGCTCAGTGGAGGAAAGTCAGATGTAGTGCCGCTCACCGACCACACGAGGGCACCTTCACCATGTTCATTGGTGGACATCAACCATCAGGCTCGTTCCTCTCGCTCGGCTCGGCCACTTTCTCCACACATCGCACTCTGAAGAATTCTGATGCGCTTTTGTTGGCGTGTTGGTTTGCCCTGCTACAATAGACTGACCCACTTCACGACGGGTTTCGCTAAGCGTAACAGCGGATACTAAAGATATTTTACTGGATATGAGAGTATCTAGGCCACTGAGCGGTAGAAGAGACAGATAAACACTTCAGGTTTGGCTTTTTGTTCACGCGCGCCGTTCAAACGTTTAACCGTTACTTATTTCAGAGCCTGCTGTTTAACCAGCGGCAGATAGGTTAGGGGAAAACACAGTCTTTGCCCCTTAGAAGTTGTAAAATTTAACCCATTTTTGAGCACTGAATTTTATAGACAGTTTAAAAATGTAAAAATGTGTGGTCCTGTGCTCTCATACACATGCTAGGCTAATCTTTAGGCTCTCGCTCAAAAATAGGATTTAACAAAAATAAGACAAATAAAATCACTTCTTTATTCCTGTAGAATAATTATGTGTAACGGCAATTCTCTTTATTATTCTCTTTATTATTATTATTATTATTATAAAAATGATTAATATTTGTGTTTGTCTGTTCGTTTTGTTTAGTTCCTGTCCTCAAAGACGATTTCCATGTTTGTTCATGTAGCTACTAAAATAGGCGTAAATGGCAGTGAGGCTCAGATGCACGCTGGCCGGCTCAGTGAGCTCCTGACTGACCGGCAGGAAAGTGCGTGCGGACGGCCAGCCAAACCAGGGTCTCCTCGACCCTCCACTGCTGGATATTGATGTCACCTAAATGGGATCGTGTGTGTATGAAAGGTGTTAGAGAGTGAACTGAAAATCATTTTCACAAGTGGATGATTTCTTCTGCCACATGTTAACCCAGCTCCACATGCTTTCCTCCCTCTCTCCCTCAGACAGCCACTGCCTCCACTTACAAAACCTTTCTCCTCGAATTGATTTCTCTTCGCCTATAGCCTACTTTTACTCTGATCTCTCTCTTTTCATGTTTGAATAAAAACGCAAGGTTAATCAGCAGGATATGGATTTCTTTTTTTCTGTTTAATTTTCAAGTATTTGTACGCTTCTTGAGGAGACGAATAGGGACATAGTAAAGGTTCAAAAGTGATGACACCTCTCGTTTCTCTGGACTTGTAATTGACAGTTTTAATGGGGTAAAAGCCTGGCAGTATTAGAATACCTCACCTCCATGTGTTAAATTTGAGCTACATAAATGAAGCTAAGTTAACAAGGGCAGTGTAATTTGAAATGACAGTGCTATGTCAAAAAGCACTTTTATTCATCTATTTATTTTTTTCAGTTTAAGTGTAGGCCTACACATAGACATTCAAGTGGAAGAGTCCACCCGTCTGATAATATGATGTATTTGCTTTTCTTCTGAAGGTACCTCTATGCATTAGGACAGAGGGTTTGGAAGCGATGGAAGAGGCGGTATTTTGTCCTTGTTCAGGTGAGGCTGTTTATTTATCCAGACCACTTAATTGCAGTTTAACCTTGTAAAAGTATCTCGCCTTTTTAATGAAAAAGTTATCATTACATTGACTGTGCTCTGTCCTCCAGGCAGTAAAGACATCATGACATGTCACCCAATCACCTTATTTGCTCTTATTGCTCTGGTCCGTGTGGGAGCGGAATGTCATTGAAAGGTGCGATGTGTTTCAGGTCAGTCAGTACACGTTCGCCATGTGCAGTTACAGAGAGAAGAAGTCAGAGCCGCAGGAGCTCATGCAGCTGGACGGCTACACGGTGGACTACTCTGAGCCGCAGCCAGGTAACCTCTCCTCTCTCAGCCCTCAGCGCCGTACTACACTAACATCACCATGTCATTTACAGTTTGGTTCAGTCAAAGCCACTCCAGTTTTGGCAAATATTAGACTGTTCCACATGTCTCTAAAAACACTGTTTGGATGGTTTTGCTTTCTGTAGCTTTTTACTTTTTTGAAGGATATGACATTCCCTGTGTACCTCCAAAACCTCCAAAATCAAAGAAATAAATTGCTTAATGTAAGAATGAATGAATGAATAAATAATAAACTTGTCAGTCTGCAAATGTAAAAGCGTTCATCAAGTGTTTACTTCACCTAAACCACATTAGCATTTTAGGGTTCTTTACAATACATTTTTTTTCTGTTTTTATTTTATTTTTTTAATATTTTCTCAACATTAGCCCCATGCAGTCCTTGAAGTGCAATTAATTTGCCAAGTTAAAAACTCATTCACTAACACATAACCTGAGCAGTGCAGAATTTAGTTTTGCCAATGTGATGCGCTTCTGTTGGATTTACATTGTGTTATTCACAATTAACTCAAGTTGAGCGTCAACTGCCAGCTGAATGATTTCTGAGACCTGATAGTGATTTTGTTCCTGTATGTTTCAAGGTCAGTTTTTCTTTTTTTTTCTCTCCCAGAAACATTTTGCCTCTTGTTTATGCAAACCTGATCCTTTTGAAATGAAAGGCGCATCAGTAATGAAAGTGGTTGTACAGTAGGCCAGCGCAGTGCTGTTCTCATCCAACTGAAAGAAATTTTTTGGAGAGAAGACCATTTAAAAAACTGTAAACCTGTTAGTGATCTTCAATAAGCCCCCCAAGAAATGGAGACAAGTCAAGGTGTTCGGAGGTCATGAGTGTTGTTCTGCTCATTTCTCCTTTATATGAGAAAAGGTGTCTCAAACTGGTTAAGGTAGCCAGCCCATTTCCTTTCAGTACCTTTACTACCTTTAAAACTGCAGTTTCTTTGAGTGGGGCTAAACAAAATATCTCAAAAGTTGCCTTATGTATGGAATGCTGACAATTTTTTGAGTTTCTGTAAAAGCTTACTTAAAATATTTTCTCTGAATGTGTGTGTAAGCATGTGTACATAGACCTGTCTGTATTTACACATGTATTATTCCTGTCTGTATATCAAAGTGTATAAGTTATGCATGCTTGCATGAAAAATCTGTGTGCACTGGGGCTGCACAATATGTTGTTAAATAATTGTTATTGCAGTATTGATATAATATTTGCAGTGCTGACATCACAGAGTGGCAAACAAGCCCTGTAATTAATGATGTTCCTGATGAGTTTCTCTGAGTGAATGAGTCAAGATATTCACACTATTCAATACTGCTCAATAAATTTGTTCAATAAAACGCATAGGCTAACCCTGTTACATCAGGATATTTTTAATACTGTGAGGCATCACATCACAATTACAGTTAATGTTGCATAACGTTCAGTACTTTTTCAATACTACAATGTGGTAAACACCTGTAACTTTCAGTAATTTCAATTCTTTACTTAAATAGGCTGACACATACCATCATTGTTGGGTAAAAATCTTGTATCTCCAAAAAATAACTTCTCATAAGAGGGGAAAAAGTGTTCTTAACATTTAACGGAAGTTAATGTAGCAAGATTTTATTTCAAAGTAATTTTGTAGCGTTTTCATTTGTCCATTCATCATGAAATGCTCACACAATGTCCAGCTGATATTTTTCAATAATGTTAAAAATGAAAAAATAACAAAATTGTGCATATAAAGTTTTGTTCTATTTGCATATGTTAAACTATGCATGTTGATTTGAATCAGAAGGACAGAAATTAGCTCATTACCATGAATAAAACCATAGAGGTGAAACGTTTTATTCAGTAACAGATGTGAGTATATGTTTTAAACAGTGTGATTAATGCTTGGCTGATTTATTTATTCATCTCAGTTTTAATCTTCCCTTTGGAACATGATAAATGGGGCCATGTTTAAATTATTTAGGTATTTGAAGATTCTTTTTCGAGAAAAAGATTAAATTTGAAAATCAGAGAAAATCTGTGTTCAGACAAATAACATTTGCCGTTCAGACAAAGATTTTTTTCCCCTGCAATATCCTTTACCATCAAGCTTCTTGATACTATACTTAGTGTTGGTGTGGAATAAAGTTATATATTCTGGCATTGTGACAGCGCTAATCACAGTACATAGTAATATAATCACAATATAGTATTTTGCTCATATTGCGCAGCTATGGTGTGCACATATTGTTTATCTACGCAAGCTTCATTTTTTTCTGACTGCATAAATAATCTCTTGCAGGTCTTCAGGGAGGTAAAGCTTTCTTCAGTGCAGTCAAAGAAGGGGATCTGGTGGTATTTGCCACGAACGATGAGCCAGACCGAATGCTGTGGGTACAGGCTATGTACCGCGCCACAGGCCAATCCTATAAGCCAGTACCACCTGCCCAGAACCAACAGCAGAACTGCAGAGGAGGGAACATCCAGAAAGACACCCCCACTTCATTACTCAGTAGGTTGCATCCTCTCAGATCTATGGGATGTCACGTGTAATTTATGATACCGGCTTCACCCCTTTGCTCTCCTTTCTCTTATTTGCTTATTTAGATTCCTGTTTACTTTAATGTGTTTCACCGCAGGCTAAAAGCCCTTCTTTCAGTTAGAATAGAGCTGTTTCTCTGAGGATTTTTCAATACTGCGGGTGGTGGGGTGGAGGCTGGCTGCCCATCGATCCATTGGGCTGCGGCTCTCACACACACTCTAAACAAATGTCAGTGGGGGGCTTAAATGACCCAAACACTGCCACGGAGTGAATGAAATACCACTTGCAAAAAACTCAAACGCTACAATTTGCTCACTTTGCTCCACAGCCTGGATAGCCAGGGAACCTTTCTATAATAGCTTATTTATGACCGGACTATTATAAAGGGTACATTCCATAACCTAATGGCAGTGAGAATCATGTTTTTTAAGCTTTTCTTTAAAAAAAAAAAATTATAATTTTACCTGGCATGTACCTTTTTAGTGTTGTCACAATCAGTAAAAACCTCTAGCACTGCACAGCATAATGTTGGACTCTGGTTAGAATAAAAGGTGGCACTTTGTCTCTTAGACATGCAGACATTTCAGAAAGTGAGGGCAAGCTCTCCACTTTCATCTCTGCAAATGCATCACATTCTGCCATGCTCTTGTTAAAAGCTCAGTCCAGTAAAAATGTTTCTTTTCTCATATCTTCAAGGCTCTCCACTCCTTGTTTATCGCATTATGTTGGACCTCATACAGTTCTTTTTTTCCTGCAAACAGTTTTGCCACTTATTTATGCAAGTTTGAGCCTTTTGAAATGAAAGGCAAATCAGTTTTAAAGGAGCCGTTTACACAGCCAGTGTATTGCTGTTCTCATCCTACTGAAAGGAAGTTTTTGGAGAGAACATCATTTAAAAGTCTGTAGACCTCTTAGTGGCCCTCAGTAGGCCAAAACCTGGACAAAATTGGGAGAAATATAGAAGTTTATAAATCCTGAGTGTTAATTGGCCAAGTCTGTCCTTCAGATGGAAATAGGACTTCCAAACAGACCTCTGTCATTTAGAATGACATGTTTAAAAGTACTATTTATTGAGGTCCAGAATACATAAAGCATACAAATTTTCTGAAACTTGAAGTTAACATCTTTGGAGGCTAAACTTTTTTATCAAGATTAATTCACATGGATCCTTGATAAGCCTGTAAGGCCTATATGTTGAATGGTACTTGGTCAGTGTCTGTGCTGTCCCATTGCCTTAGTCTCTTCGATGACCATAGCAGACCTCTCGTCCCATGGCCCAGATGAGTGTCACAGATGAGCTCCTCCAGCAGAGGTTTGGATTACATTTCTTAGTGCACTTGTGTGTGGACGTCTCTGTCCAGGCCATAATATCCCGGCCGAGCACGGATGTCCTGTCTGTCTGGCCGCATCTGTCCTTCAAACTCCAGCTGCTTTCACTGAAGTGACCGGCGGGGGCTGTACCTGTGATATGGGCTCAGCGCCGTGTTAATATCTGTCATAAAGCTCCTGTCCACCTTGCTGGCTCGTGTCAGATGGATGTGACTGCTGCCATGAAGACAGAAACGGGAGATGGCCTGCCTCTTCTGGACCGAGGTAGCATGCCCTGGCCCTTCAGCTCCGATTAAAGACGACAGCCCCCCTTCCTCCTCCTCCAGCTCCTCCACTCCCACCCCTCGTCCACAGATAATAGCTGTAAGTTAAAGTTGACACAGATCAATATGCTTCTTCAGTCAAACTGGATCTGTCAGGCTCGCGCCTCATGGATCAATATGAAGCTTCCCTCCTCTTTATTACCGTGTTTAATCTATATTTCCTTTTGTGCTCTTTCTTTCATTCTCCTTCTTGTTTCTTTATCTTTTTAACCCCCCCTACTCCACCCACCCAAACATCTCCGTCCCCATTACTTTCCCAAATGACATTAAGGAGCCGATGCTTTGGTAGTAATGAATGTAATATGACCTACATCGGAATTAAAGCGAGAAGGGACAATGGAGAGCCGGACACGTATCAAGGCCAGAAGAGAGAGGAAGTGTTTGCAAGTCGATTGGAGAATTGTGACTGTCTAACAAGCGACAGTCGGGGGGTTGGGGTCTAAAAGATGCCCACAGTGCTCCTGGGCACACACAGGGCTTTTCTCTGTCCATACAACCGTCCACAAAGTCTTCGGCATGCCAAAAATGGCAGCGTTAATAAAAGCAATCACTAATGCCCGGCTCAGGAAGGTGCCGCTGGCCATGCAGGCGTCAGGAGATGCGTCTCAAAAGCCTTGGTCTTTTGTGGTCTTCCTGGAGCGAAGACCTCGCTCCGCATATGCACGCTCTCTGATGGCCGGCAGCGAGTGTTAGGCTTTTGATGGGTTCCCCATTAGCCGGTTTTCAGGACGCGTGTGACGAGCGTGATGAAAAGACTGAAAATGAACTTGGACACACTTTTAGTGCTCCCTCCTCCTCTTCTTTCCTCCCACAGTCTCTCTCTCTCACACACTGACCTGACCCTGTACCCTTCAACATCTTGCACGTGTGTGTCATTTTTCTCTTTTCGACTTGATGCGTGTGCTCTCAAACCCACCCATCTGCTTGTTCTTTATTTCACTCTTAAGTGCATATGGGAATGTGTAGAGACAGATGGTAGAGAAGTATGGACTCTCACACTCCTCATATTTATCAAACCTTCACAAAGGTGTAATGCCTTCTACAAGGTCGAGTCTCGGTCGACATGGCCCAAAAGAATGACCATCACTTGTATGTGAGCTGCATGTGTTCTGAAGCCGCTGTGAACCTGCACACAGCGCTCAGGAGTCATCTACAGGCCATCATGTTCTTTTGATGGTGCCACAGTCATGCTCCCATTTGAATAACAGCGGAGTATTCAAATCGCTTTGAGAATTGATTGTGTGGCTTATGAAAATGAATTAGAATACTAGCAGTTCCTGATTGATGAACACAGAAATCCTATTAAAGGACAGTTTCTTTTTGTGTGCATGTGTTCACATGTATATTTTAGTCTGTTATATTTTAGTCAGAATTGTGAAAACTGGAAATCACAATGCGCTCAAATAGCCAGCAGCTTTCTGATGACAGTTCTTGTGTGTGCGAGCAGCGTTGTCAGTTTCAAATGTTTACTGCTGAAATATGGAAACTGGCTGTCACAGTAGCTTTGGCCAAAAGAGGCGACATACAAATACAGGAAGATGACGATGCCAATGCAAGCAAACCCTGAATTAGCAATTTACAAAGCATTCTGAGGCATGAGATCTGCTTTTCCTCTTTCCACAATGAAAGCACCGTAGGAAAATACATTTTCACTCCACTAATACATTTATTAGAAGGCAAATAATGTCTATGACAGCGTATTGCATTTGTTACCTATGTGATATGTTGTTTATATACTGTCAATATGATAGTTACATCTGTATGTGTTGCTAATTGTTGCAGATAGATAGATACAATACTGTTCAAACATTTGAAATCATTTGATACACTAATGATTGTTATTCAGCAGTAATGTATACTGTGTAGATTAGAATGCTGTAAACTGGTCACCAAAACGTGAACTGTTGGTTTATTATGGTTTTGGGAACAAGGAGAAAAAGCAAATGTTATTAAATAGTAAACCGTAATAGCTTATTCATAGCAATTTCTTGTCATAGCATTACTGTGAATAGTTATGTGATCAGCAAGATAATGCTGTTTTTTCTTTTTTTTTTAATTAAGAGACATTCTTTATATTCATTTTATTATAAGTTCAATGTCAGTGTCGTACAGCTTTCTCAGTTATTATGGAATCACCCACAGCTTTATTCATTATCAAAAACTTTTACAGATACCTAAAAATTCTTCTGTTAAACCTTATACATATATCTGCAACAAAATTTGTTTTATATTTTTAAAACAATGTTTCCAAACTTTTGAGTGGTAATGTAATTTACTTAGTAGAATTTGGGCACCACAGTAGCAGAAGAACCTGGCAAATTATATACACTGAATAAATACTTGTGTTAGTCAGGTGTTACTGTTAATGTGAAAATAATGTCAAAATGTGTAATTAATTTCTGAAATAGGTGTATGTGTTAATCTGTTTTTTATTAGATTTATACTGTTTAATATCTCTTTCATTCACCATATTAAAACCGTCAATATTGTGACTGTGTAGATGTGTATTGTATGGTTATGGTGCAGGCTGAAAGGAGTGTGTTTGTGGTTTAGGTTTGGAGAGGGCAGGAGTGGAGGAGCTCATCTCTGCAGTTCCCTGCAGCTTCGATCATGCCAGCCTCTTCCAAACATTGCAGAAACACACACTCGTCCACCGCATGAACGACTCTTTCTCCTGCCTGGTGAGCCCTCCCTGTGTGTGTTTGTATTGTTATTGTTATTATTGTTTGGCAGTGATAGACAGTGGGAATAGTGTACTCTAAGGCTATTTATGTTAATCTTTTTCTCTTTAGACTGTAAAATACAGCTGAAGCACTTTTAATACTGTACTATTAGTGTAAAATCACTAAAAAAGGTTCATTCTGGCTTTTAACTTTGAGTTATTGTTTCACACGAGCTCAAACGGATCTTCAAAGGTTATGGGAACAGAACGAAGAAGGAAAACGTTGGAAGATGTCCCAAAGATTAAATAAAGAGTGGAACACATTGAGGTGTTGCATTTAAGAAATGTAAAACAAGAGCTGACAGTAGCTTCATACATTTTCAGTTTCACATAGCTGCTGCCAAAAATATCACACGTATTTTGAAAAGCCAGGCGGCATTCTTCTAGAGCTTGAGCAGTGTGCACTGTGGCTGATCAGAGTGCGCGTGTGTGTTTATATGTGAGTGTGTTTGGGGATGTAGGGTTGTGTGTGTGTGTGGGGTTAAATGTCCACAGGGGAGGGATGTGGCCCCTCAGGCTAAGTGAGAGCTCACGCTCAAGAGGAAGATAAACGGTTCCAATCAATACAGCCCGGATAGCGAGCGCAGCCTGCCGCACTACTGCTGAGCCGCTCTGCACACTGAAGAAAAGAGCCGTGCTGAGAGTTACAATGCTTATATGTATGTGGGATGAGGCTGGAATTACATAGCGCCAGCAAATATTCCCTGGTACACTTGTCGGTGCACACTGTCTACATGTGTGGCGGGTCCTTATTCATCTGACTTAATCCTGGTGTAAAAAAAAATGTGTAAAAGTGTTTGTATGTGTTGCATTGCCGGCTGTCACATCAACATTTCAAAGCTTTTTTTTTCTATTTTATAATTTTTACATGATTTGAAAATGCCAGCTGCCCTTTACACTGGGTCAGTATTTCATGACGAATAAACCAAGACAAATGTAAAAATAACAAAAAAAAATTCTTGCCAGTAGCACACAGTAAAGGGCCCATGTCCTTTATTTTTCTTGTTTGTTTATTTTTTGTCTCCTGAGGTTCACTGGTTTTAAATGTTCTGATTGGCTGCCCTGTATTGGGCCTTGTTGACAAAGCCGTTTGGGCTGAAACACTCTTTATAACTTCAGCGTAAATGGGCGTGGTTAAACTTCTACAGGCTAAATTGATGTGAGTTGGTTTTAGTAACACTGCAAAAACTGATTTTGAAGTTTCGTTTCTGTATATGGACTCGGGAATAAACTGTATGTTTTGAAAATTTAATAATAACATTTATAAACTCTTTCATTCAAAAACGTGAGGAAAAGTCAGTTTTTAGTCATATCGGCCCTTTAGTGTTTTTTGCTACTCCAGTAGTTACCATTTCAGAAGTGAAAGGTTTTGTTTCAATAGTGTCCATATCATATGTTTAATACAAACAGCTTTGTAATAAAAGACTATAGAAATTTTAAATTTTAATATGCTACAAGGACAGTTGATTGCTAAAATGGCAAGGCATGATAGTAGACCAACAAACAGCTAAACAGTCTTGTGCTTTTGTCCCCTTCATTGTGCCTATATACCTGCTCTCAGGGAGTACCTTATGTTTGGCAGCCGTCTGCTGAAATACTAAGTCTGTGCGCAGCTCTTTGTGAGGGTGCCAAGGCTTTTGTTCAAACTTCAGTGGATGGCAAAAAGCCTTGTTCAGACCACAGCGAGCCACAAAGGCCACCTGAATGTGGTGCTTTTCCCATGCTTCCTGGGACAAGGACATCTGTGGGGGTGTGTGTATGTGTGTGATGTTCGATAATGGAGAGAGAAAGAAAGGAGTTACACACGTACCCAAAAAAAGTGTGTGTGTGTGTGTGTGTGTTTGTACTACTTTTGAAAATGTCAGCTGCGTTTTATATTGTGTGAATATGTCATGATGAATGAATCAATAGAAATGATCAAAAATATCCTGGAATGATCAAATATGTTTTTTTTTCCCCTTCTTCTACAGAGTTACTTTTTCAGAGAATGCAGATAACGTCTGTCTAGGTCAGCTAAGCTAGTGGACGTAATTGTGAAAGGAAACTCAGATTTTGTTCTGAAAGAGTTGCTAATCAATGCTTTTGCCCTTAAGGAAAATCAATAGATTTTGTCTTTTTGTGGAAATATGGACATAAGGGACAACATTTTTGAGGGATTAGGCTCAGTGAAGTGTTGGTGATTTGAAGACCAATATTTCGCTTTTTCAATCAGTAATGCAACAGAGGATTCCCTGAGGCACAGCGCAGAACACGTGTAAGTGTGTGGTTTGGCTGTCATCACTTTTTGAAGTTGTAGGGTTGTGTAATACCATAAAACCCTACCCTCCCCCTACCCTATAACAAAGGTAAGACACCAGACGCCTATGAATTTAACAGCAAATGAGGGGCAGTGAGGGCCAGTCATGTTCAGCCCTAATATAATTGCACACACCCACTCTGCGTTCCACCCCTAATCACACTCTCTCCCCACAACAGACACTCACCTCACTACACAAATATGCATCTGTGCTGAAATTAAGCCTTTATTAATGAAAAGTAGCTGCCTGTCATCAGTGCTGCTGTCGCTTAGAGGCTTCAGGCACAAGAGGCATAAGCATAGCAGTGTATTCAGTACCGAGACAGACTGTTGACTGTAATGTGGGTATTCTGTCATTTTAAAATAATGAATTTTAACAGTGGGCTTCAAGTACTTGGTACAGTGTGAGTGATTTGTTTCTGATCTCCACAAACTTCAGTGTGGCGTTCTCCAAATCTGCTGAGATTTCATCTTTATTAATATTACTTTAATTTTCTCCTGGGATAGTTGCTAAGTGGCTTTGTGCTGTGGTTTCCTTTGACATTAATTAAGGGACCTTTCACCACCACATCATCACTTCTTTTAAAACATAGATGACCATGTAAACTAGTGACAAATGTGTATGATAAAAGATAAACAAGAGTTGTTAACCCCTGTGATTTGTTAGAAGTTCTTTTAAGACAAAGATGAGCCCATATGTTGGCCTTTATTTACAAAACTATTAAGGCCAACTCTTAGCTTTGTTTACAAAGAACCCAAGTGCTGTTTTGTATTGGATTGTATAATTGTATAAGTGTTGGGACAGTGTTTATTTTAGCGGTGCACAGAATTGAAAGTTCTTGGCCGAAACTGGAGCCATAATTCAGGGGACATTGGACAGAAAACTGAACCTGACATTCAAAAAATATAACAATAAATAATAGTTTACATAACGCAAACTTATTATTACAGTATGTAGGCTACAGTATGTGCCATAAAATCCAACATCCTTAACAACAGAGAACGGTTGGTCATCCAAGGCAATGACCATTATGAATTTCTGCATCATTTCAAAAACCTGAAGCTACAGATGGTGTCGACTTGCTAGTGCGGACTTTCCTTTCTGCTTTTGTTGTTTTCCTGCATTCTGCATGTTGAGCAGAATGTTGTGATTTCAAGTGGTGGCTGTAGTGAAGAGGTTCTTGGGTCTATTGTAGCCCCTCTTTCATACTTAGCATGAAACAAGATTATAAGTAATTACAAATGTCCTGCCATGAAACTGAAATAGTTCCACATTTTTACTTTTTGCATTTTTCTGCTGCTGTATCTTTCTCATTTAATTCCCATTATTTCTAAAAAATTTTACATTTTGTTGCAGGCCTGTTTTTGTCCATTCTTGTCTGTTTTTGGCAACTTTTTTGGCACTTTTTGCCAAAGTTTTTATCTTTTATCTGTCTTAATAATTTTACATTAAAGATGTAGTTTGTAGTTTTGTGCTTACTCACAGAATAACATTTTATTTCTATTTTTTTCTTTACTTAAATTACTTTTGATTACCTGTCCAGGTCAGGTGATCATGACTTTAGGAGAGAATAGTAATTGTGGATTAAATTAAAACACTTCCAATTTGGTTGAATTTAATTTCATCTCATCATCTTCCTTTGAAATCCCATATTAATGTTTTGTATCTTGTTTGTGTTGAGGACTTTATGACTTCAGTTTCCATTTCAGTGAATATGATGCTTACTTGACTGGGTTTAATTTTGAATCTGGCTTGGCCTGTCCACAGTGTTTTTCCCCGATAAACTCCTAAATTGCCTTAGTGATATGGGTCATTGTCTTGCGCTGTAGTGCTGGTCAGCCTGTTGAGTTTGTGTGGTTCTGCTGTTTTAATAAAGATGAGTAGGCCAAATGTGTGATCCGATAAAATATGTATTTTTTGTTTGTTTGTTTTTGTTGGAGTTGTTTTTTCTTTTCCTTTTCCCCCACGTAACCTATTTATTTGAGCAGGATTTGTGACTCATCTGTCCATCAAACATGTATACAAGATTTGCTGCATAGATTTCTTTCAAAAAATTCTGTGAACTGCACATTGCCCATGCACCTCTGAGTTTGTTGGCAATTTAGTAGCTGTTCTAAAGATTCTTTCATAGAGTCTCTGTGACGATTTATACCTACTTACTCCAAAGGGTAACGTCAAAGACAAGGACAAAACCAGAAGGAAACATATATTCACAGCTCTGTTATATGTGCATTTAATACAGCTGGATGTATCTCAGAAAGAATCCATTCAGTCAGTTGTTTTTATTTTTTCCATTCACTTTAAAAAAGGAAGGAAAAGAAGTGAATGAAACATATGGCAACTGAAAAGTATATCTAGAAGTCCTCAGGAATAAAAGACAGAACATTTTTTCATTCTGAATTTAAACTGCTTCAGTACATGATAAAAACAGTCCTCTGACTGCACTCATATTGTATTGGAATTGCTGAAGTCCATAGCCTTTCTCATGTTGTGTTTCTGTGTGTGCGTAAATACTGTGAGGAGATTTTCCCTGTCTTTCAGACTATGAGCAGCAGTGTGAGCCAGACTGCGCCGCGTTCGTTAAGACGATGCGACTGCCGTCTCAGTCAATTGCTAGTGGTTAATTGAGCGGTCGGAGCCAAGACACGAGCAGGCCATCTGTTTGTCACGGTGGAACATCTTGTGGCACTCTGCTCGGCACAGGGCCATTCTGCTGCAGCTCTGAGTGGTGTGATATTAATAGATCTGGGGAAGAGACAGGCTGAGAGACAGACAGTGATAAAGAGGAAAGGGGGATTGATGGATGGATGAAACGGAAGACAGAGGAGAGAGAAGAAAGGGAGATCTGTAGTTGTTGAAGGATGATTGGTATTTTTAGAGAGAAGGTGTGGATATAGGACCAGAAAGCATAGAAAAGTGGATGACGACAGGGTAATGGGCGAAGATGTGCAGCATATTTTTTTAATCATTCCTAATGGGAAAAGAAGCATAAAGAAGAAGTTTATAGGTGGCGGATGTAAACAGATATATAAAGTATACTCTGTTCTTAATAGCATTCTTTGTTCTGTATCTCCAAAATTGTAACTTTACAGGACAGTACAAAACAGTTGTAATGTAATTTAATGTATGTTGATGTCAATTCGGAGCGTTTCTGTTCACACAATATAAAGTGCAGCTGACTAAGATTAAAATAAACTAAGAAGAAATGAATAAATAAATAAATAAACAAATAAATAAATATTAAAAATAGAATTATGAGGTTTTGATACGAAAGCAATGATTTTCAGTGGCACAGCTACGTGATGTGAAACAAGACAAGGTGAATCACAGGAGGCCAACCCATTAACAATCTTGTTGCTTTCAGAAATATGAACACACATAATCTAAAGCTTTTTTCAGGTCAAGAGAAAGCAACGTAGTGAGAAAGGAGGAGGCTAAAGGTGAAAGTGAAGACGAGGACATGAAGACACAGCTATGAGGCACACACTTGAGTCAAAATACGCTTGCTATGTGTCAGCTCCACGTAGCCTTTGAACCACGCTCCTCATCTCTCAATCTTTTAATGGTAATGATCGCTTCATCTTCATACGCAGGCTGGGGGTCATGGGGGTCCGTATCCAGCCTGCTCCTCAGCATCGTGCCTGCTGCTCCCTGGTGGCTGGTGGTCTCCCGCGAGCGTCTGCGGCACAGCGTCAGTCCTCATGACTCCCAGCCTTCAGCACTGCCGTGGGCGAGCGGCCCCCTCAAAGTGCTAATTTGTTAACGTTCCTACGGAGAAGGCGTCTTAATTAAGTTTGTAAGATTCATGCCTAATTTAGTTATTATGTGAGGGATGAATGAGCTAATGAATGCAACAGGAGCCTCTCGGCGCGCTTCACCCGCCCGCATTATGTGTGACTTTTCTGCCTATGAATTAATTGTTTGTGCTTAACCTTGCTCTCACTTGTTTGTTAAAATGTTGGAAATAGATAGGGTGTTTTTTTTTTTTCTTCATTTTAGGGCTGTTGCCTTTTTTTGATGTCATGTATGTAGTACGAGAGGCCTGTCCAAATTATATACTGTGCGAGTGTAATGCGCTCAGTTACTGTATTTTAGAAAATGGAGAGAAAAAAGTAGCATGTCAAATCAGTCCATATGAGAACTGTGACCTGCAAAAGACTAAAGCCAAAGACTGTAAGGCATAAGCAATGAAGCAGAAAAAAAAATCTATTGGTTACTTTGGTTACATCTTCTGGACTTTTTTTGTCAGATATAAATATTTCTTAAGTTAATTTTGGCCACAACATCTGAGTAAATTAAATGTTCACATGACATTAGTGCCGTCACTATTGACTAGTGAACTACCAATAATGTAATAATTAATCAAGTAATCAATTTTTTAAGCTTTGTGTCAACAGAGCAAATATTCCAAAATACTTCATTGGAGGCCTATATTAAGAAGCCTTTGAAGATTATTTATATTTTAATCTGCTTTGTTTTGTAGTTCAGTAACCAGCATTAATCGAGTAAACAGGACAGCCCCATGTGAGATATGAGATGTTTAAGATTTCATTTGTTCGTCTGGATGTTTTTCTATCAATAATCTGCCAGAACCTTTTTTATGTGTGCAGGGATGGTTCAGTCCAGGTCAGGTGTTTGTTTTGGATGAGTACTGTGCTCGGTATGGTGTGAGAGGCTGCCATCGTCACCTCTGCTACCTGAAGGAACTGATGGAATTCTCTGAGAACAGTGCCCTGGTGGACCCCACCCTGCTCCATTACAGCTACGCCTTCTGCGCTTCTCACGTCCATGGTAACAGGTATCAGTGCAGGAGAAAATTTTAAATCAATGACAAAGCCTGAAATGTGGTCTGTGGCAGCGAATTCTAATTAAATATGTCATGACAATGACAGTATAGTTTAATTCTTGCACATGAAATTATTTCTAAATATGTATTGTTAGGATTCATTACCAATAAGTTCCTATTTCTTATGGTTATAAATCAGAATCAGTCCTAAAAAAGACAAATAAATATTATTAGGGATGCACAAGTATGGAAATTGTGGCCAATACTGATATTGTAGATGATTTTCACATTCATATATGTTGAAGCCGATACATAGACATTTATAAAAAGTGGAAATTTGTCTACCTGTATTAGCATATAACGTTTATTTCTATTGTTTTACCCATATGGTAAAATGAATAATGCAGATATTTTAGCACAGTGATACAGTGATACCTAAACATAATCAAATATTACTCAAATCTAAACATGTCTGATGCCAACAGGTTTTTTTCAGCAAATATCTGTCAAAACCGAGTCCCATATCATCATATCACATAGTTTACAGTTATAACTGATAGAATTTTATTTTAGCTTTAGATTTATAAATGTTATCTTATAAATGTATAATATATTGTAATGATGAAGTTTATATGAATTATTTTTCTATCTTGTCTGCCAAAAGCAGGGGCATGGTGTAAAGATTCATCAGAATGCAGATATGCTTTAAATAAAAACACACACACAAAAAAAAGAAACACTTTACTTATTTCTACAATGACTCATCCGTATGCAGGCGTACATATTTCAGGCCATGGACTAGAGCAGATTCATCACCCTGCTTAGGGAATTGTGTGTCTTAGCACTTTCATTTTCCAGTGCTTTTAAACTTTAACAGTGACACAGTGTTATTCCAGTAATTGTGGACAATTTCTGTTGGTCAGTTCATCATAAAATTTTCAGACAGCGTAAAGGGCAGTTGGTATTCTCAAATCCTCAAATTATGTCATGTTCCTACAGTAAGGTTGTCCTAAATGTATCACCAATACAACCAAAAATAACTAGGAAATCGTAAATATAACTAACACACAAACATATGATAAAGAGTAGTAAGATGCTATAATGTGTATTCTGAAAAAAAGTCAAGTTCTGTAATGCTTAAATATACGCACTGTAAAAAACACCTGATAAACAGATCAGTAGGAAGAAAATAGTGTCTCTTTTTAAGCCATAGTTTATGCTATTTATAAATGATGTACATACTTTGTGCTGAGACCTGACACAACTACTTTCTACACACCAATATCTATCCTTTATATCCAATTACTGGCATAATATTATATTAATGAACATTCATTGTAGCTTTGTGATTGATAGCACACCCACATAAAAGTCTTCAGCCCAGAAATGCAATGTATTCTGTGTTTAAAATTGAGGATTTTGTTTTTGTTCAGATACAGATGTTCAGTGGACCAAAGAACAACCCAGAGAGGCTTTTGTATGAATATAATGAATGTTATAGAAAAGATATTCCAAAGACACAAAACTGCAAGCCCATTCAATGTCACTGTCTTGTTATATTCTTCAAAAGGGAGTGAGCATGAGTTTTTGCTTGCCAGATTAATTAACATTCCACAATTATCTTTTAATGTAAAGCAATTAAAATCAAATTGCTGAATCTATTTTTACAGTTTTGTGTGATTTGTGTAATTTGTTTTATTGACTAATTAATTGAATTGTGTTTTTTTATTTGTTTTTTTTTTAGTTGTTTTTGTTTTTTTCTTTTTGGATTGGACTAATTAATTCATATGTTCTAACAGTCTTTTAATGTCAATCAGGCTATATAAATGAAACCAGTGTAAAACAATAAGGTGAACCTTAACAGAAAAGAATGATTAAGGCTCTTTGGTATGAGCAATGTTCTTGTCCACTTGTTGGTTTAAGTCCTTTGTGTTCAGCTTGTAGACTGTCCTCTTTAAAGCTATTAGCTTTCTACTTAATGCAAATCATCTCCATTTGACTTATTCCACGCTAAATACACATGGATGTGCTGCTTCTCTCCGATTGTTAATTTAGCCAATTAGGGACGGTTATGATCAGCCTCTCTGGCTAATCACTAGGTACAAATTAAAACTGGCAGTAGTAGCTTTTTGTCAGTTTGCAGATTCATTTGAATAATTAATGTCTCTTCAGAATTGTGGATTCCCCACTGGCTGTGTGAGAATTAATAGGAAATGCTATTTAGCCCACAGAAGAAACGCAAATTTGTTTTTTTTTTCTTCTGAAGTTTTATACATACAGGAGTTTGGCAAACATTTTTGGTGCTTCCATTTAAATTTATCCATTTAAAGTTCAGGTACCTGTAAATGCCTAGTTTGTGTGAGTGCAGTGTTTTATATCCTGTACTTCAGTGACTTCATAAGGCTGGGCAGAATATCTTTGATATGCTCATTGTCAAAAGTAGTGAGTTTTGCTCTAAGATATTGCTCTTGGTAGGGGCATTCACAGGGATCTTATGCTTCCTGTTCTAGCCTTTTTACAGTGATCTGATTCGTTTTTGTTGAATGGTTTTGTTAAATCTCAGATCTCTGAATGAGATGTGTTATAGAATAAAAATTGCCTTAATGCTGGTCAAGAAGACCTTGACCGTCCAGAGTCAAATGAAATGAGGACATAAAGTGATCCGATTTGTCAGTCCATATAGCCTTTTGCACGACAAGCATGCAACATCAAAATGATAGCCAAAGATGGTGTATTATAGAGTATTTCAATCCTCTTCTGCCTGTTTAGATGCCTCTGTGCTCTCTGCGATAAAGAGTTGGATAGCTGTGATGTACTATCACCTACAGAGCATGTCTGAATTAGCTGAATGCCACTAGCCTTTCAGAGGGACTAAGTAAATGACACCAGTGGAGTGTTTCAGCATCCTGACAGCATGTACAGTGCTGGGATTTTACCAGCAGTGAAGGCTCCGTTAACATAAAGTTGCTTTCTGGCATGTTGTTGATTGACCGTCACATCAGGAATCACATGCCTGTGACACATTTGATTTGGTGATTGCTGCTTATTTATGACAGTTGCATGGTGGGGTCATCCAGGCTTCCTAGCGAGCAGGGTTCATACCAGAGTTAACGTGTTAGTGTGTGAGATGCACCTGTGGGTGTGCAGTGACAGCGTTCAGCCATCTCCAGGAGTGACAGCCAAGACAATAATCGCAAAGCATCCCTCTTCTCACCTGTCAGTCCTAATCCCTGCCTCACTCGCCTGTCTGTCGCACATAAACGCCCAATTTGACATGAGCATTTACTAACTCCCCACCCCCAAACCCTACTCACGATGTAAACATGACATGCGTCTGGGTTGTCATCTCTTACTTTGTAACTTATCCAGGGGTCCAAATATGCACTTATGTACAACCATGTACACTTAAACATAGGCATGCACTACATTGGTAAGGTGGTGACTTTTGAGTTTAACATGTATTTCTGTTAAGTAGAAAGTGGAAGAAGCATCCTTATAAACAGACCTCCTTTCAAATACAACTTCAGAGAACAGCTGTCATTTCTTATGTGATAAAGTCTGTAAGTGTCTATTTATTAGCAGTCTAAGGTGTTCACATTTGACAGTGACATTTACAATTCTTTCTCAACATGGAAAAAATAATCTCAAATATTCATAGCTTTTTTCACTCTTAACACATTTATAATTACATATTAGATTAGGCCCTTCAGAGCTGTTTCTCTGGGCTCCTAGTACTGATTAACCCTTGTTGACTGGGTTAGCGTTTAGCTCGTCTCAAATACACTTGCTTCATTAGGTATGGACAAAGAGTTTGCTCCTCAATGCTCCACTCCCACCAGACCAGCCAAGCGTGAGGCAGCACTGCTGAAGATTTTGATGGCCACTGTGTGAGCAAGCTCATCCTGCTATTTAATACGGCGAAGTAAAATGCACACTAATCAGGATATATTTCTTTTTAAAAATGTGATTTAGGAATGTTTCTGGTTTATTAAGGATATTCTGACTTGAATTATACAGAATTTACACAGTACAGTGTATGTGTGTGTGAGTACGTGAATATTACTGTGCAAATGTCTGAGCTGTAAGTGTTTTTCTGCCAGTAAAAATAAATATAACTTTAGTGTAGTATAGTATTGGTATAGTAAATATAACATTAGAATAAATGGAAACAGAAATTAATGCAACAATTAAGTAACAAGAATGTATTTTTCTGAAGTTGTTGATATCTTCTGAGTTAGCTAGAAGAACAATTAGCACAGCTGATTTAAAGTAAAGAAGACATGGTGGATGGTAACTACAATTAATACTGGGCTACAATGAAGAGAGGTTTGGAAATGGTTAGATGAAAACACTGACATGCATAAAATGACATATATAAATCACTTATTGTATGAATGTTGTTTATGTGTATTTATTATATCTTTTAGTACTGTGCAGCAGGGACCATACTTCATTTATTTAATTTCCTTCTCTGTCAAAGCGACTTTACCAAAACTGTTTAATAAATCATTCATTTTTCAGGAGTTATTTTGAAGAAGATTAGATATAAGATAATCCACTTGCATAAGGAAGGGGAAAGTCAAAGGAAAATAAGTGGAGTTTCCAAAACTAAAGCTCAAAAACTATTAGAAGATATAGCGAAAACAAGACTCCTAACAAATGTGCAGGACCTGGTTAGACCCTCAAAACTGTCCCCGTCAGATAAACAGAACTTAAAGCTTTATATTTAAGAGAGAGGAGAAAATTAAGCTGCTTTAGATCTAAGAAAATGCACAGGTGTTTCCATCTTTCCACAACTCTACTCAGCGCTGTGGGTCTGAAAGGATGTCAAAGAAGCTGCTGGTGTTCTCAGAACAATGGACTGACCACCACAGGCTCATTTTGAGTCTAGATTTCAACATCACTAAATGTGTCTGGGATTACTGGGATTGTTAGAAGCAGAAAATGCAACCAACATCTAAGACTGAACTTTGGAGGTGTGAAAATATATCCCTGCAGATTTCTTTGAAAAACTCAAAGCAAGAAACTTTGTAGGAAGGTAAATTTATATAGTGAATACTTCATTACAGTTTGGTTGGTGACCAAGAGCACAGCTTCAGCTGTTGACTAAGCTGGACTCACATAAGGACAAACAGAGCAACAGAACAGAGCAATTCACACTGGTGCTCACAGTTCAATTCCCAGGCCTCTTGTTAGCAGCTGTTAAACTATGAGGCCTGCGCTGGAAATAATGAGCCGAGACAGAGAGAGAGAAAGGGAAGAGAGAGGGGACATGGGAATGGGGGTTAAAAGACCCCTCTGTCTTTTCTACCAAGATGTCTCTTTTCTACTACGAACAAGCCGAGGACAAGATTGGCCTCTCTATCTATCTCTCTCTCTCTCTCTCTCTCTCTCTCTCTCTCTCTCTCTCTCTCTCTCTCACACACACACACACTCACACACAGGCAAAATCTACTGCAACCCTTTACACCACTGATTGTGCCTCTTGTCGGATTAGCTGGCTCTTGTCAAAAAGAAAAGAGGGATTTCATTTAATAGAGAGGGATTTGGAGCACAGACCAGTTTACAAGTTGCACTTACAACGGCAATGTAAAGAGAGAGCTTGGTTTTTTAGCATCAAGCTGTGCCATTCACAAAGAAAGTGGAAAGGCTTGGATAGGCAGACACAAAGCCAAGTAACAGGCCATTGTAGCTCAAGTTTAAAAATCTTTTGATTACATTTGGATTATGGGTAATGGGTTCCAGTGTAATTACCTAATACTTGAACATACACATGTGTAACGTATGTAGCATAGCTGCCATTTGTTCCTAAGAAAAGTAACTTTTTACTGCCAACTGGGCAAAATGTTTTTCCTTACAAGTGGCGACCCTTGATTATATGAGATTTGGTTCTCTTCCATTTGAATAACGACTCTTCTGCAAATGATCATGGGCTTGCACCATAAAATCCTTATGGCTGAACTAATAACAGCAAACAAGACCATACTAACAACTCCCCATTCATTCATATTAATTTAATAATTGTTCATGTTATGGCATGGAAAAATCCTACAAATGTTGCATATTTTCTAGGATTACATGGAAAAAACATGATCAGATATAATTTTGTAAGATATAATTTACCTGTATTATTTTAATTTTTTAATTTATTTAACATATTTAATATTAATTTCCAGTTCCAGGTCTAGTTATGTAGTATTAATTCAAAAGGGTTCAAAATGCAATATTATGATTATTGAACAGGTATTAAATTTTCAAATAAGGAAAACGGGCTTCATGTAACTAAGAGGTTAAAAAGGTTCAAAATAGGAATATACCAGAATACAACAGTTCTTATCTCTGATTACCTTTTCACCCCTGGGTGGAACTCTCAGGCTGTGGTTATATTTTTAAAGCTTGATGGCTAGAAATACCTAGCAGTGTAATGTCAAGGCTGAGAATTTTAAGCATACTAAGAAGAACCAGGTATTGTCTTTAATTATGAAATGATTCAATATATATTACTCCTCTTTTGCAGGCCAGATGGAGTGGGCACCGTGACAGAGGAAGAAAAGGAGGAGTTTGAAAAAGTAAGGAGCAGGCTGCTAATTCTGCTAGAGAATCAAATCACCCATTTCAGGTAAGGACTACTTTAAAAAGCAGGCAAAACTTAGCTCCATCCCTTTCCTTCATAGTATGAGGTTAGAGGTGGACAAAATTACAAAATGTTATCATTGTCGTGATAAATTACATCGCAGTACGTTTTTCTAAGTATATTGTGGGTATGGTAAGTACTTCTAGAGCACTGAACAACTGCATGCATCATGAAAACAGATTTAGGCCAATTATAGACTATACACTGTCTGCAGAACAGTCAGTGTATAGTAACTGTATAAACTGCATCATAACAAGTAGCTGACTGAATGTCAGCTTATATATCATAATTGTATTTTATTATTTTTTTCCATTTATTGTCTTGTTCTCCTGTTTTTTTTTCCTTAAATAAAAATAAAATTAAAAACCTTGTGCCCATAGTGTGCCATGGGTTAAATGTGGCATTGCTGTTTTGCTGGTGAATGCTGTCCATTTCAATATCTGCAAACCTCAGAAAAGCTAAATATCCTAAAACATATCACGTGTCGTGAAGCTGTCTTCAAGTATAGTGATGCTACATTTTTTCCGTAGAGTTCACCCTTAGTAATTTGTAGGTATTGTGGTTTTATGTTTTTGTCGTATCTTCACCCTTATGTGACGTCCGTTTCAACAAAATATCCCTCAAGAGACAAAAGCCAACGTGCAGTTGATGTTTGTAGTCAGTCAGTTGTAGTAATCTGTTGCGTGGCTATGCCTCTTAAATGCACCCGTCACACTTCAGGCTTCACTACTCCAGCTGCCCCCTGCTGGGTCCACCTGTGGAGTGCTGAGAAGAACAGCAGTAATGAAGCATATAGTCTTGAAGTTAGGCAGCAGCAGCTTCTAATAACAAGCTAAGAGCAGTGAACAATAGCTACAAACCATTGTGTGGGATTATGCAAATGTATGGCAGATAGAGGCAACATCAGTGAGGGGTGTGCTTAGGGCTAAGAGCAGGACTCAGCCCAAGCTGATTAAAGCTGGTTGAGTCATTTGTTAAGTGTGCCTCATGTGCCACCCATCCAAATGGTACGGCAGCCTGACAGAGAGGTCCTCTTCACTGAGTGCTCTTCACTAACACCTGTGGTCTGCACTGTCAATAAGGACCCCTAGCCTTTTTTTCAGTGTTTTCTTTATTCATTCATTTTGATATTGTCTATGTGTGGTGACACCTGTCTCTTTTCATTTGATTTAAAGAAAATTATTTTCTTGTAATCTCAGAAGAAAAAAAAAACATTTTCACACTAAATCTATCAGCTGATTAGTGTTTTCACTGCACATTTCACTTTACTGGAGCTATATGTTAATCTCCCGGTGTGTTTGTTTAGTTACTCTGGCCTCCTCTATCTGTTCGTAGATACTGTTTCCCCTTTGGGCGACCAGAGGGGGCTCTGAAAGCCACACTTTCTCTTCTAGAACGGGTATGTACCTTTTTTATGTAGTGCAGCCCCAAAATAAGCAGGATTGTTATCCCAATTGTGTGCTATTGAGTGGTGATTGTATGTTTTTTTGGCAGGTAAGTATTCTAAGCGTATTCTCCTAAAATGTAAAACGTAACTGGATTCTGAATACAGAATATAAGAATCAAGATACTTAATTTGAATCTGAATATGTATTCTGAATTCTTGGATTCCATTACATCCCAACCCTGGTGGCCAAACATCTACCACATATAAATGCTCACAGTGCATATCGTCGGTGTTGGAACAAAACTTTGTATCTCCAAAATGGTCACTTTACAGGAGAAGGAAAAAACATTCTTAACTTATAATAAAAGTGAATGTAACTTAATGTAGAATTTTTCCTAGCATTTTTGTCCCAATTCTGTAGCTCCATTCATCATGAAAATTTAATGCAATGCAAAGGGTAGAGTTTCCAAATTATGGAAAAAATTTAAAAATGAGAAAAATGGAGATGCGGTTTTTGCACGACAGCAACAATATATTTCAGGATCAGTCTGATCCTGTTTCACTGCAGAGGACAAATAAACATACTAACTGTCATTTGCTAAGTTTGGGAGACAAAAAAATGTGAAACAGTGCTTGGAATCTGAAACTAGCCTGTCATCTCAACATTTCTTTTCATTTTTTGCTGCAAATCTGTATTTGCTGTTACATACTGACCACCTTTCTGCAGGTTCTTATGAAAGACATCACCACAGCAGTCCCTGTTGAGGAAATGAAGAAGATTGTTCAGAAGTGCCTGGAAAAAGCTGCACTCATCAACTACTCCCAGCTAACTGATTATGCCCAGTTTGAAGGTTTCAAACACAGAATGTTACTGCTAATCTCAGTGTGAACATGGAAATATGCTCTGTCTTGAGATGCACTTCATTCTCATTTCTTTCTTCAGCTGACAGCTCCCAGGCCCCTCCAGAGAAGAGGTTAGAGGACATGATGCGCCTGGGGGAGTTGTGCATGGAGGTGCTTCAGCAGAATGATGAACATCACTCTGAGGTACAGCACTTGGCTTCAAAACAGTCAAAGTTCTGAAAAGTCAGGCAAGGCATTTATCAAGAACCTTGGAATGAATCGTCAGGTCCTTCCCTTTGCATGGACATTCATATCACATGTTTAAAGGAACACCCTGACACATAGAACGACAAGCCTTGTTTATCATCGACTCATGATCATTTACCGTCGCTGTCCATTTCCCTTCTATGGCGCCGCGACAGCTGTTAGTGAATAGTTTGGTTAGACAGCTAGTGCCAGCTCATAGTAGCAGCAGATGAAAACAACACCCACAGCCCATCCATGCAAGGCCAACTTTAGTGAGCGTTTGTATGCTAAGATTTTTTTTCTTCTTCTTCTTTTTTTTCTTTTTTAAATTGATCAGTCATAGGTGTTGAGGCTTCTTTGGTGGAGACTGTGCTCATTTGCCTAAATGAGAGAGCAGCAGTAGACATCTGTTCGTGAGGTGTGGAGCTATTTTTAGGCTTCCAGCCACCAACAGCTGTCACATGTGAAGATGACGATAATGCCAAAGCATTTGCACCTAATAAGATGAATGGTCCACGTGCTGTTACTAAGGAAACATTAAGGTGCTGGCGCTGAGAATAGTCAGATGTGGAAGGACTTAAAGATCACATTTTGGGTTTATGCAACTGATCTTTTGTCCATGGAAGTAAATTCAGTTTATAAACATCTTATTGATGATTTATTTATAAATAAAAAAAAAAAACCTCATTTACAAACAAGTGGTGTGTTGTTTGTAAGTAGAGTTTTGAATACATTTTTATTTTATTTTTATGCTGACATACTCTGTATCGTACTGTATAGGAGCTTTAGAGAATGTGTAACTCTCTGTAATTGTCTTGTGCTGTTTCTCTCCCTCTCTATCTCTCTCTCTCTCTCTCTCTCTCTCTCTCTCTCTCCCTCTCCCTCTCCCTCTCCCTCTCCCTCTCTCTTCTCCACAATCTCTTTTGTAAATGCACAAGGGAAGAGAGGTAAGTAAGTTTCTGTTATAGCTTTCAGCTGACCTAATAGTGTCCATTATCATCAATCACTTGTGGACAGTTTTATATCTTGATTTTGTGTGCAGTGTCCCATACCTTTCCTATACATGATAAACTTAGTTTATAATTTGTTATGATTTATCTGAATTTATGTAAAGCAAATACAGCTAATACTTGTTTTAGAACAAGAACAAAACTAATAAGATAAAAGGACTTCAATTTTAAACCTTAGCAAAATTTAAAAATTGTCATACTGCATAGGACTTCAGCCATGTGAAAAGTATATTCACATCTAAGTTATGTTAAGCTCTCTATTTTTTAAGGTTGAGTTTCTGAAGAAAAAAAAAAATTCTAACAATAAATTGATCTACATCAGCTGTTTTTTTTTTTAAAACAGTTAAAAATCATTCTGGCTTTCAATACATCAGCACTTTTTATTAGTTGGTTTTGTGTGCTGTGCCTCATAGTTTTATCTACCTAATTAGCCTAATTCATTCATTTTTCATAGTTTATCATGTTGGTATTTTTAATGTTACCATGTTTGCTGAATCACCTTCAGGCAAGATCAATAGACAGTAAATTTGGAAAATTGGCAAGTGTTTTGAAGTGTTAAGTAGAGATGGCCACTTTTTTCTTGATACCAACATCGAAACCTTGCGTGTTGATCAGCACTGATGCCAGTCTGATTTTTCTTCTTAAAAAAGCTTTAAGATTGAAATACTTCACTTGACGTGCATCTAAAAGTTATCTATCAAGTTATCTAGCTCAAACTGCTGAAACCCTCTACTACCCCACAAGAAGAAATATGTAGCTAACAGCATCACATATGTGAGTGGTGCTATTTCAGGATAGACTTGTCACAGTATTAAATTGGACTCATTCACTTTTTTTTCTCTCCGATATCAGATCCAGCATTTTCTGCTGATGTTGTACCAATACCTGGTATTGGATTAATGCCAGTCTCTGAATTTCAACCTCTTTCTGGAGAGGTATTATTTTAGTGAATATCACTGAGTTCTGAGATTTTAATCCAGTAGAAATCTGAAATTTTACAGGTCTGACTGTAATCATTTTGGAGTGAATTATGTTCTGCAATTTGCTGAACCTTGGGCTCTCTCAGTAATAGCAATTAAAATAGCTCAGCAGTAGTCCTGTTCAAATCCATCTCACAGTAATGTAATAACAAAACCTGCTAATATACGCTGCCATTCTACCTGACGTTATTGTTACTGATGGTGGCGCCTGTCATGTAATGCAAACATCTGGACTATTTGTGGTATTTTGGTGGAATTACATACTTCATACATGCAAATTAGCCACTCAAATTACATCAGAAAACTTCACTTGGTGAGACTAATTCAGCTTAAACAGTGGTTTAGATAGAGTGGTCTGTTTAGAAGAAAATTTATTTTTTGTGAGTCGCTGTAAACTTCATGAAGAGGCAAAGCTCCTTAGCCACTCATGGTAATACCAATATGATTTGCATGTACACCCTGGTGTTGGTGTTTGAGACAGGGGGAGTGAAGGAGGCGTTAATGGTGTTAGGTGGCCCTATGCTGTTGAAAAGCAGCTTATGAAACGCTCGAAGATGAGCATCGTCAAGGCCAGCTCCAGTATCACAGAAGTCAAATAAGAGTGATGTATGCTCCCACATACACCCCTTACACACATGCACACAAACACTAACGCACTCACATTCACAAAGATATCTGCTCACAATGGAATCTTTCAGTACATCTGCAGCATTCTTCTCTTCAACACACATTTTTTCATTTGACTGATTGCACTTTTCCTTTTTGCCTGCTGCTGGCAGTTATGATCAGAGATTTCTTCTCTCTTCTGTGGTGGGGGGAGAGAAAGAATCTGAGACAAACGACAGGCTTTCCTTTACACTCAGTTAATTGGGCAACAGCCACACAAGCATCTAGGTGTGTAAGAATACGAAGAAAAATTGATTGAAGGACTTGAATCTTTTCAGAGAGCTTTCAATGCGTGACTTGTTGGCTAACAATAAAGGCCTTGCCAGTGGAGAGACAGCAAAAGAGAACAGCAAGTTTTCACTCCTTTCCGTCCGAGTGCAGAAAGAGATGGTCTGATCCTTTGCAGTCAAAAAGGCCACATTTGTCCAGCTGACATTTATCTTTAATCTTTGTTGTTCTGTATAGAAGTAGTTTTTTGTTTGTTTTTTTTAAATGTGATTTTTGAGTGGCCATGAATTGAGCTCTGAAAAGCCTTGGGATATTATTATTGGATTATTGAAAGACATTTCAAGAATAATTGTTTATTACTCATTTTGGGAAGAGCTGTTTGAGAGAGCTTGAGGACAGCTGAAAGTGAGTTATCTTTGTCTTGCTTATACAGCAGCTTGACCATTTACAATAGGTGTGTACAAGCTTTGTCTCCCCACCTCATCCAACATGACAGTCCATGCATGTCAACATGATTAAAAATAGCTGCACATGTTCACTGACACTTGATTATCACCTTACTGTACATACCTTAGCTTTAATTTTATCAATAATCTGTCTCCGTGCTGGAAGTTCTGGTGAAAAATCCTTTGACAATTACTTTAATTTTGTCACTTCTCAGTAATGATGTCTCATGTCATTCATATCTACATAGATGCTGAGCTTTATATTATGTGCAGTCTGAAGTAAATGATGTATAGATCATAGGTTGAGTGTTTAATGGCAACAGGAGCAAAAATAATGCAAGGAGCAAATCTGAACAAAATGTAAAAATTGTTTTCAAGTCATAATATATAGAATTTAAGTCATGTAAAAATTACATGCACATCTAATCTCCATCAAGCTCTCTGTGCTGTAGGACCTGACCACACAAGTTGAGTCTAGGAAATAAAACTAAATATTGTTGTTTTAGAAACAAGTCTAATGCTAGCTTAGAAACAAAACCTCTGTTTGCCTTTCATACAGACACATCTGAGAAACAGATTTGTCACAAAAGATGGTATTTACCAAAAGTTTTCATCATAAAAAAGCTTGGCTCTGTACTGCAAAACTCTGACCATATGTAGAAAGTAAGGCTGAGAATCATACACAGTGAAAGTGCATATAATTAATTCATCATTGAATAACTTTTTTGGCATATGTTTATCATCTTCAGTATCCTTATTTTTATTAAAAATGTTGCCTGCGTTGCAATTGCCTACACTGAAGTTGCTTACCTGTGTGGGTGAAAGCACTCATGGAAACTTGAATATTTGATTTTCTAAGTTCAGAGTGTCCGTATGCTTTGGGGGTATTGTTTTGCACTCATGTCATGTGTTTTTTTTTTTTCCTGTAATGAGGAACATGACAAGACATGATTAGCTAATAGAGCAATCGGTTTAGAGACACATTTTCCACCCATTCTTCTGAAGTGTCTCTGCGTTGATGCATCATGTTGAAATAGAAGGTGACAAACAGGATATATAAATACAATACAATTGAGATAATCACTTCTAGACTTTGTGACTGCTCATGCTAAACTGCGCTACTTTTAAACAGAAGTGACAGAGGAAAATAAGAATCTGTGTAGGTTTCATTCTTGCAACTGACAACATCAATTTGCAGAGTGGTGATTAAATCCTTTTTATATCTGCATTCACACTATTTTGACAAAAGTATGTGGATACCCCTTCTAATTACTGAGTTCAGGCATTTTAGCCAGTCTGCATTCCCAGACTTTTAGAGGCTGTTGTGGTTGCAAAATGGGCAACAATTATGTATTAATGCCCATGGTTTTGGAATGGAATGTCCAATAAGCTCATATAGGTGTGATGGTCAGGTGTCCACATACTCTTGTGTGTAGTGTATATTTCTTGGATTCAGTGGTTCTTGAGCTGGTAGAATAAATCTAGCAACAGAATGCTCTTGTTTTTTTGTGTTTGTTTTTCGTAATAAATACATTTATTTATTCACTGATTTTTATTTTCCGTAGTTATCTCCTCAGTGGCAACTCCCATGCCCTTTCTGTCATACGATAGCTACCCACCTGCGAGGCTGAGGCCATGTACTTTGTCTTTAACATGTGTAGCCAATGAGTGCGTCTTTTAAAGCTCACACAGAGTTGTGGAAGAGCTGTAGATGCTTGGAGGAGAGCAATAACTGCACAACAGAGCCTTACAATTGCTTACAGGCCTCTGAAATGATAAGGAGAGAGGACCTAAGCAGTCCTTCCCTCCCAGTGTGCTCTCTGGAACTCCCAGGCATGGATGGTTGTGGCATACGATCGGACGATAGGGCGCAACATTCTTAGCCAACTACAGCACCTCAGGGGGCCGTTCTTGATGAGAATTTGTGATATTTTTGCTGTTCACAGTTTGAAGATTCATGTAACATTAAAAGAAAAAGGGGGAGGTGCAGTATTTTTGATCGTTTGTGGCATGCATCCCAGAAGTTCAGTGACAAGTTTGTTATACCATCCAAAACGTCAACCCTTATTGAATAGTCTTTAGATCATTTTAAGGTGAAGTGAGTCTTAGTGAATTCACAGTTGTTTCAAGAATGCATATCATTTGCTGGTTCTTTGCTTAGATTAGATGTGATGGTCCACATTAAAACTTTGCATGTTCGTCACTTGTTTCTTGTTAACAGTAATGCCTAAAAAATTGGACTAAATGATTAGTTTATCAGTGTAATGAAGCCTTTGTTGTCTTGCATTGTCTTAGACACCCAGTGTAATATTCCCTGTGTATTTGTCCTGTTACTTTCTCATCGTGAAGAACTGGCTTTTAACAAATTTTGCTGAAGTGCTGCTTGTGTGAGGTAAATTCCACACTGTATTTGTATCTGTGTGAATGGCGTTTTCAGTGCCAGTGAGTTGAACTAGAGGGCACTTGTCTCCTCTATTGCAAAGTAAAGTACCAATGCAGCTCTCTCCATCAGACACATTGAATCATAGATAGAAGCTCAGAACTGTGCAGTGATAGATTTCAGATGTGTTAAAGGAGACAATCGTTACCTTCAGTGCCACTATTGCATGCCAGGACTATAAGGGTGTCAAATAGTGGACGTGCCAACACCTATAAAGCACCTAAACAGTCGAAAGCGGCCATGACTTACCTGGGAGTGATGCTTGCAAAAACACTTAATGATTCAACAACAGACTAAATAAACTAAATTATGTGCGTGTCTGTCATTCAGTGGATTCTGTATGCAAGGTGAAGCTTCCTGGACAAAGCGCAGCCTAGTGAAGGCGCGGCTGTGTTTTTATTATAGCTCTATAATGATGATATGGCTAATGCCTCTATGTGTGTAGCTCAGAGTTTGAGTGCTGTGTATTCTCTGCTCTCAAGGTCTCTTTATTGTACTGCTTGTCATCCAGTGAGCTTGTGGTTGGTAACGTCCCTCTCATTGTTTTTTGTGTGTTCTGTTAAATTCAGTGAAACCTTGAACATGTTTGTCTGCTCTGGCATGTGAATTTGCCTCTTGTTCTTTTTTATATGTTGCTATCTCTTTGTGTGTTTCTCTCTGGAAACTATGTACTGCCTGAAACATATCTCTTACCTCTATACAGCTGTTGATTTGTGCCTGTCTGTGTCTGTGTGTCATAGGCCTTTTCCTGGTGGCCAGATGTGATGGCAGAGCATGCTGAAATTTTCCTATCCCTCTACACAGTAGATATGGATGCTGCTCTGGCCGTGCAGCCGCAGGACTCCTGGGACAGCTTCCCTCTCTTTCAGCTGCTCAACAATTTCCTGCGCACTGACCGTAAGTTCACTTCAGCACACTATATTCCTACTGTCACCTTCTTCTGCTGTAGCTCTTTCTTTCTTTCTTTCTTTCTTTCTTTCTTTTTTTTCTTTCTTTCTTTCTTTCTGTGCACTCTCCCTCCTTCATTGAGGTTCTTCTTTCTTTTTATTTCTTTTACATTTTTTTCACTTTCTTTGATTTATTCATTCTCTCTTTATATCTTCTTTTTTTCATTCGCTCTTTTGCTTTTTCTATCTTAATACATACACTCTGTCCTTCTGTCCAATGCTTCTTTCTTTTATTTTGCTTTCTTCTTTTCTTTCTTTTGCTCTTTCTTTCCTTTGTTATTTCTTTCTTTGTGTCTTTATTTCCATGCTCTCTTACTTTATTTTGCTCTTTTGCTGTCTCTTCCATTTCTTTCTTTAGTCCTTTTTACACTTCTTTTTTCCCTTTTCTTTCTTTGCTGCTCTCTCACTCTTCTTTTTTTCACTCCCTCTTTTCTTGCAAGTGCTTTGTCTCTGCACACGTCCGTTTCCTCTCTGTCTACCTGTTTATCTCCTTGACTCTCCATCCAGGTCTCTTTCAGATAAACACAGAAATTAACATCATCAGGTAACAGTGAAACATGCTTAGAAAAGCTGGTTAATGTGTTGTGCTCCAGTGGTGACAACACAGAAATAAGATGCATATCACTGCTGTCAGAACAAAACCTTGAATCTCCAAAATGGTAACTTTACAGCAGAAGGAATACATATACTTTACTTTAATGTAAGTCAGTGTAAACAGACTTTTTTCCCCAAGTAATTTGGGGCCATTTCTTTTGGCCCATTCCTCATTATGTTTACACACTTTACAATGTAAAGAGTAACAGGCATTTCCAAATTGTGTAATTTGTAGTATAGAGGATCTATTGCTTATAGGTCTGACCATATCTATTCAGGAATGCTTTAGCATATCTCCAAACATTTTGCTATTTACATTGTTCATTTAGGCCTTACTATACAAAGGTGATACATTGTATATGTTAGACTATCATTACATTTCTTATGATCATACATGACCAATACGTGATCATACTGCTGATGAAAAGAACTTCAGAAAACAATTTTAAAAATATGACAATAGTATTTTGCCACTGTCCAAAAAGAAACTGTATATCTACTTTATTTCCTCAGTTTTTATTTTTGTACATGATTTGTACACAGCAGCTACCCTTTACATTGTGTGAATGAACCAATAGAAATTCTCCAAAATTACTTAAGAATGTTAATAATGTTTTTTTTTCCATGTCCTGTGAAGTTACTATTTTGGAAATTGAACATTTTTGTTTGTGTTTGTTTGGACAGTTACAATTTGCAATGTTTTTTTTTTAATCTTAAAAGCAAATTCTGGCTTTCTTATAGTATTCTACTCATTAGCGAACAAAGCTGTACCCTCTTTTTGTGCTCCAGCTATGCAGGCAACATCTATGCATTTGACACATGTTTTTATGATTAAAAAGAAAAAAGAAAAGTCAGCTACACTGTTGAGCTACACACTCAAGAGTAGCACTCCTTAAAAGACTGCCTTTTTGTGCACACTTGTTTGTATGAGTCTAAAGTAGATGCACATTGTTTTCTTCTCTAATTGCTTTCCTCTGCACCACACTCAATTATTGAATCTGTCACAACACTCTTTTCATAAGGCCTGAAATATAATGAGAAAACTGTGTGGGATGTGGAGAAACGAAGGAATCATTATTTTGTTTTTTAGTGTAAATGAGATGTATGCACTTGCTTCAGTGTGAAGAGCCTTCACTGGGTTCAGTTCTGTGGGATTTCTTTTTTGTAAACCTAAGTCAGTCAGGTTTAAAAGCCTGTTGCAGTTTCAGAAATGTACATTAAAATGTAAATGACGTCTAACTGAGGACCCAAACTACACACTGATCGTATGGTTTGTTGTTGACTACCAGATATCTTTCATGTGTGAAAGTACTGTTAAAGCACTACAGGTGGTAAAATACAGTAGTGTTAAAGCTTCTGCAATAATGCATATGTGCATAAAAAAATAAGCTGCCTTCTTCACACATTTTAAATGGTAATCATTTTTCAGGTATTTTTATTTGAGGTGTACATGCTCATCATTCAGTCCCTGATGACTGTACTTATAAAATATCAAGCTCCTGGGCTCATGTTGCTGTCACTAAATGCTCATGAGTTTCATCATCTCCTCAAGATGTTAAATGGTTGTGAAACGTGTTCACACACCCACGAGAGTAAAAAGGCTAGTGTTAATGATGAAGGAACAGAGTGAGAGGGGATTATAACTAATGATGCCCAATGAGACACCGCTCTCTCTCTCTTTCTTTCTCTCTCTCTCTCTCTCTCTCTCTCTCTCTCTCTCTCTCTCTCTCTCTCTCTCTCTCTCTCTCCCTCCCTCCCTCTCCCTCTCCCTCTCCCTCTTCCTCTGTTTCTGTCTCACTCCCCCCACCCCTTTCTCTCTCTCCCCCCTCTCTCCCTCTTCCTCTGCCCCCCCCCCACTGCTTACTCTCTCTCTCCCTCCCTCTCCCTCTGACTCTCTGTCTCACTCCTCCACCCAACCCCCCCTCTCTGTACCTCTCACTTTCGTTAAGATAAAATTCCATGGGGATTTGTGGGAATGTGTTACCTTTACTCATCTGCTTCTTCTATCCCACGCACTACTACATGCTGTTTCTACTAACTTGAATTTCTTTTTCCGGTTCATCTTGGCTGCAAATTTCTCTTCAGCACTCAGGATCAGGATAATTTCTGCTCTTTATACTTTTAGTGTAGTCTCTCAAAGGATTTGTTTTACTACTAATGTGAAACTATTTGGTTCTGGCTTTGGGCTAGCGCCACAATATTTGAGAAATTTTACAAAGGGAACCTTTAGATTTGAAGAGTGTTCACTGTGCACTACAGTTTTGGAAACTTAAGTCATTGAAATGTGTTTCACTCCTCTAGCTCAGCTGTGCAACGGAACGTTCCACAGGCACCTGCAGGAGCTCTACATGCCCCTTGTGGTGCGCTACATTGACCTGATGGAGTCGTCCATCGCTCAGTCTGTCCATCGTGGCTTTGAGCAAGAGACATGGCAGTCGGTCAAGTAAGGCCTTCATGTTTTGTAGACTCACTAAGAGCAAACTAGAGCTTTCTTGTGTAGAACGGAAAAGCAGAGTCTATCATCAGATGTCCCTGCCCTCTGTGAAAGTAGCCACATATAAAATGTTTCTTTATAATTAGATGATGTTTATTTGATCTTTATTTTATTTTTTATTACATTTATTTGTAGCCATCCTGACTTTATCTCCACTGCTTTCTGTTATTCTGCTCTTTTTTACTTGATTATTGCTAGGATTTAAGCCTCTCTTAAGTGTCCTTCCTATCTGCATTATCATTAAAGCTCTGCAATGTTTCCTTCTTTGTATCAGCCATTCCATCTTTTTCTCTTCATAGTTTTCTTCTGTCGCTTTTTCTTCTCTCTTTTTTTTCTTTTCAATCTCTGGCAGGACTATAACCAACAATCTGCCAAGCGTGCCTTTGCCTAAAGTTCCCAACCTGCCCCTCAATCTTCCTCAGATGCCCAGCTTCTCCACCCCCTCCTGGATGGGACCACTATGTGATAACACGTGTGTATGGTCCAGCTGGGCACCATCCATACTTAATGGCTAAGCCATTTGCTTATTATAGCTATAAAGAAAGCTTTTGACTTGGATTGAGCTCCCAACCTATAGAAACACCCAAAAGTTTACTGCAGAAAATGAAAGTATAGAGTACTGTTAAAACTAAAAATAAACCCTTGACAAATCTTTTTTAGAACCCATATATTAGGTGTAATGGGACATTTCTGTTGTTCATTATCATCTTAAATAATTCCATTTTTTCTGTTTGTATTTGTAATTTATAGCTAAATTAAGCATTTTACTCAGGGTAAATAAGGGTGACACATGCTTCACTGTGTCTTTCAGTAACAAGAATTAGACCATGTGGTTTGCACGTGTCTGAGCGAGCATGTAAAATGGCGTGCTGCAATGTGTATCTGCGCTACTTTCAGATGTGTATTGCTCTATTATGCATGTGTTGTGCCTGTTTAAGCATTTGAACTTGCCTGTGAAAATGGACTTGCTGCTTGATTTCGAGTCACCATTCATGTACAGCACATTCCTCCACTTTATCATGTCATGATCTAGTAAAAAACTTCCTGATACTACATTCATTTGGATTTTTTGTGCGTAGAATGATAGTGTCATACAGTGTCAGTGTTTGACATTTTAGGTTTTCTGTTCGGATTCCGTAAGTTTAACATAGTTCTGCTTTTGAATTTCCAGCTTGCAAGGAATTAATTTGCCAGATATTTTGTGAGTACCAGAAACCTAAGCTTTTATATTCTTTTGGGCATCATTTGAGGTGTGAAGAATTTTGCGTATTCTCTGCTCCTTTTCTGGGTTTATTTTCAAAGTCATTAAAGCAGCAATTCTCAGTTTCTCTGTGTCTTTCAGAGACAGGGTTTTAGAAAGAAAAAATGAAATGGACAGACATGTTTCTGTAATTTACCATTTTTGAATTTTATGTCTGGCACGCTAGCGATGTGTCAGTAGTGGAATCTTTTGATTGCAAAATGGATTTAGGCTGCTCTGAGTCTCTCAGTGCCTCAGGACGCAGACAGAGCTTAGATTAATCATTGAATCTCAGATGCAGGGAGGGCAAGGGCTCCAACTTGGAACACTATTTGTGGCGAAACCTTTTCTCAGAAACCTACCACTTATTAATTTTAGACTTCTTGATAGGGCTAATATCATTCCTTTTTAATAGTATTGAATATAATTTCCTTTTTTCTCTTGTACAACACTGGAATAACTGAAGCGAATATACAGGTGTTTCTGTGGCAGTTGATAGATGTTGATCCAGTGTTTATGGATGATGGATGGATGGATGGACAAATAGGTAGGTAGGTAGGTAGGTAGATAGATAGATAGATAGACAGACAGACAGACAGACAGACAGATCAAGCATGTGTCTTGGTGAGGTGTTGGCCATTACAACCCACCAGAACAGCTTCATTGTAACTTGGCATTGATTCTGAAATCACTGGAGAGATAAAACACTGTTCTTTCAAAAGATATTTCCTCAGTTGATGTTTTTTTTCATGACTATGGTAGAGACCACTGTGTAATAAGTCAGTCCAAAATCTACCATAGATATTCAATTGGGTTGAAATCTGGTGACTGTGAAGGTCATTGCATATGAGTTTCTTAGGATAAGCATTTCTTAGGACCTTAGGATAAAGGTGATCAGTGAGATTTGTATAGATTTGCAGTGTCTCTTTACTGTAAGAGGACAGCTGGACACAAACCATTCCAGCAAAGTGACCCCCACAGCATAACAGAGCCACTGGACCCCTCACTGTAGGAGTCAGGCATTGAGACTTGTACCATTCTCACACATGCACTCGCCCACTTTTCAAGAATGTGGTGAAAGATGACTCCTCTGAAGATAACACCTTTCCACATCTCTTTAAACCAGTGACTGTAATTTTTGCACCACAGAACACGCAGATGGGCATTTGTCTCTGTAATGAGGGGTTTATGCACGGCAACCCTTCTAGAATATCCCTCTCTATGTAGCTGTGGATGAACTGTTCTTACTGACACAATCCAATCACAATCACTTTCAAGCACAATTTCCATCTTTTTTACTGATGTATTTCCTATAGATCCACTCCCATGAAAGTTTTGGCACTTGTCATGTTTCCACAGTGATTTCAGGATTTTCCTTCAATTTGTCACCTGTCTACAGAAAGACGTTGGACATTTGGGTGCTACAGTACCAGAAAAAAATACATAGGACATTATATATGCATAAAATGTAGAGACACCACACTGGAACAAAGAATATATATACACAAAAGCAGCGATTCTAGAGCTACTATAGCTGGCAGGCACTTGAGGCAGCACTGAAAGTTGATGACTTGGTTTTGAGAAAATATTCAGAAACATCATAATATGTATATGATCTTGTTCATTGTAAACAGTCTGGACTGTAAATGCACACCAGGTTTCAGGCCTGAAACAGTGTCTGTAGTGGGAGTAGTCCTGTGGGTGTGTGTCCAGGGGGACTCTGTGGTTAGCTGGTTGTTAGAGGCAGTCAGAATGCCGTGTTCCCCCATGGGAGTCCCTCGCCTGGCGTGAAGCAAGTCCATTTGTTCATACTGCCTCTTCCCCCGCTCACGCAGGCTTGAGGGGGTGGCGCAGACCCCCGAGGGGGCCCTCACGGACTGTACCGCCGCTAATTAATCGAGTGGGAACTCATGCTCATCCTTTTTAATTGCACTGTGGACTTTGCCAAACTATTTTCTAGGACTGCCACTTGTGAAGGTAACAGTCTTTTAACAGCGAGAGGAGTGAGTGCCCTTTTTTTCTTCCTTACTGCCGAGCATTTTGCGCTGTACACTTGAATGCTGCTTGTGTCAGCCTCTCGGTGTGTTGCCGTGTTAACTGTGGTTGACACGGCAGTGTCAGTCCATCTGTCTTCATTGCTAAGGCTCTCTTGAGCCTCTGGAAAGCATTCTACAGCAGCGGCTTTAAGCTTTAGAGACAAAGCTCGTGCTTTTCCTCTGTTTTATTAGAATGGAATAAGTGGTCATAATGTAAAGCATGGTAATGATATAGATAAAAGAAGTGAAGAAACCTTTACTTAAGCATTTCATACTAATAAGCCCTTTCTCTTAGCCCCACTTAAACTCATGCCCTTACAAATGAATCGTTGCAAGGTTCATTGCACGGCAGTTACGCCTGAATATGATTTAAATGATAATAGTGATGTATAGCATGTAAGGAATGAAATTAAAGTGCCCTTCTATATGATTTAACTGTAACCTCCTTTTGTGAAGTAGTTGCTAAGTTACCTTGTTCTGTCTAAGGGTACCTACTGCTAAAATTAGCTTAGACAAGCTTTCAGACTAAAACCAGTGCTATGTTCTCCACAGTACCCTTTCTAATCGTTCAGAATATTGATGATAACACTGCATTTGCATGAGCAGTATTATAGCTGGATAGACAGAGCGGTTCAGGTTTGTTGCAGCTAGGGGGCACATCTTCAAAACTTAGTGGTGTTGTTGGAGAAAATTTTAGAAACAGTGAAATGGAGCCATAATTTTTAACAACAGTACATTTTTTTCTTATGAAGCAGCATAAGTACTTCACAGACGACATCACATGAATATATCTGAAAAAGCTGATGTGCTTGCATTGTTCTCTTTTTCAGTAATGGCTCAGCAACATCAGAGGACTTGTTCTGGAAGCTGGATGCCCTCCAGATATTTGTGATGGACCTGCACTGGCCAGAGCAAGAGTTTGCCAAACATCTGGAGCAGAGGCTCAAGCTTATGGCCAGTGACATGATGGAGGCCTGCGTCAAAAGGTGTCAAAAGAGCTGACTTTGGATATGCTACATTTTAAGATTGTTTCATTAATAACACCATTCTGATAATATCCCTATAAACATTATAAATCATATTTCATATAACATTTCATGAAAATTAAACATAGTAAGCTTTTGCTCTGACCGTCCTTTCATTAGCTTTGAGCTCAAGATTAAACGCTGATGGCCTTTTGTTGTTTGCAGTCAGCAGGCTTAACTTAACATAAAATTATGCAGTCTTTTGAGATATTTGTTGAACCCATACTCCTTTTAAACACAGGACCAAAGCAGCTTTTGACTCTAAGATGCAAAAGTCAAGTAAGTCCACTGACTTCAGGGTGCCCCTGTCCGTCTGCACCATGTTCAACGTTCTTATGGATGCAAAGAAGCAGTGCTCAAAACTCTGTGTCCTTGACCAAGGCCAAGAGGTAAATAAACCACAGACATATTGGGGGTCTCTTGTTAAAGCAACTTTTATGTACACATTACAAAATGGGTAACAAGTCAAGAGAGTGAAGTGAAGAGAATTTTTCAGTACTTTAGAGAGAAGAAGCTGTGTCACCAAGAGAAAGCACTGCAGTCTGGTTTTATAACTGGCCATGCAATCTGTTTTCAAGTCTTCACACAGAAACTTAAACACATAGTTTTCTGCCTACCCTCATGTATGAAGTGTGAGCTGTGGTTTGAAAATGCTTGTATTTGTAAAGCTTTCAGTGCCTTCATTTTTCTTTGAAGATCATTACTCTCTGGAAGAAAAGTGAATAACACAACTGAGGAAGACTTTCACCTCACTTTCATAGAACATTATTGATCATAATACAGTAATGACCTATCCAAGGTCAATAAAGTAAATGTGCAGTATATATGTTTAAGTGAGTTCAACTGTGAGCTTATTATGGTGTGGACCTCACATTTATTGCTCTGAAATGGATGCTCAGAACCTGAAAGAAAGCATCAACACACTATTTTTTCTATCAGCAAAGCCTTGTTCTGCTTAGTCTTGACCACAGAAGTAGTGAGGTTATGAGGTTGTAAATCCCGGACGGAGTCGAGCATCATCATTCAATTTTCTTTTTTTTGAGAATTGGTATAATGTGTTTCAATTCAACGTGTTTAGCTTTATACTGCTTTTTACCTATAGTGGAAGCAGTGTAGCAGTGCATGTGATAGGGAACGTTTCCATTGTGCTGTGTTTTTCTCCAGTTGGCAGTGAAAGAAGCTGCAGGGTTTTTTTGTACATGCTTCTAGAGGCATGGCGCTCAATAAGACTCGCATGGTGCGTTGCCGGTATAAAAGGCTGCACTCATTAGCATGTTTGCTGCACTTGAGTAGTTAGATTTTAACCAGGCTAAGCCCCATATTTTAGCCTGCTAGCTTAAAATGTGAATGTGTCGTTTTACTAAATAAATATCACATCTAAACTATGAACCGTTTTAAGGATATGTATTACACATTGTTTTTTATTAAATATGAAAATTTAAAAAAATGTTTTTTGAGCTTAACTACCACAAGTGTCCTTAGCTCCTTTTTAATAGTTTTACTTAACACTTCTCTTGTTCCTTTCTTGAGATTAGGCTCAAGCATGCATGCTTTTAATGGTGGATCCTTGGTGTCCTTGGATCCAGCAGCGTGCCCTTTACTAAGGCTAAACCTTTCAAAACAGCCTGGCCCACCAGCACCAGTTCACTACTTACTAAACAGCCATTTGACATTGGAGACTCAGTCTCATAGTAGTACAATTTTTATGTTCAGCTTGTATTTTGATTTTACATTCATTGTCCATTCATCTGATATGTGCTGTTTTCATATGCCATGCTGTCCTCATTGTTCCCTATTAAGGTTTTCATTTATGTAAGTTTTTTCCTTTTTCATGAATGTTTTCATGTGTCCTGCTCATCATCACATGAACCCAAGATTGACAAACAGTGGGTAAGTCTTCCATCTCTTCTAAAAGAGCTAACAGCCTGTGTCAGCCAAGGTGTTTACAGGAGCATTACATATGCACTTGACAACGCCTTTAGTGATATTAAAGTATGGATATGAAAAAGGTTTTTGGGTTTCTTTTAGGTCTGTTTTGTGTAATTCAGCTGTCCAGTATTAATCTCATTACCATAAAAACTCCACGTTTCCTTCACTTGCTTTTGTGTCCCATCATTATTTGTATTTTTCCATGTGATCTGAAGAGGTTTTATCAGTGCTTTTAAAACAAAATATTGTTGTAAATTGCAAGAAAAATGGAAATATCTAAATTCTTTTTGTTAGAACTAGTGTCATTTCTCTGGATATTACTTAGTCTCTGTCTTCATCATTGTTTCAGTTCTGTTGCAGACAAAATGAGCTGTAAACTTTTCACTGAAGAGCAGAGATGTCTACTGTGCCATGTGAAGCTTGTCCTATAACCTAGTACAATTGCTTCTTTTTAAGCCATTTCCTTTTGTAGTTCAGACACCCTAAAACATACTCAACACTCGACTGAATCTGTGAACAAAAGATCAGAATTTTGCAGTGGCTCATGTACACTTCTGTCTGTAATATGTAAAAGATAATTTTACTATGGCAAATGTTGGCCTGTTTGTGCTTCCATTGAAGTTTGCATGTAACAGAGGGTTGCTGCATTTCAGAACACAAGGTTACTCTTTAGAAACTGCTTTCTCCCTGAAGTGCCTCTTACTGGATCGCTCCCAGATAAATGTTTTCAAAAGAAATTATTGTTCTTTTGGTTTTCATGCACACAGCGAAGACCTCACAATTTAATCTCCTCTAATGCAAAAAGAGCCCTCGCAATTTGGCCCCCTCTCTTATATAAAAAGCAAACATGGAAGTGTTAATTGAGGTAAAAAGTCCTTAAGATTCGCCCATAATTCCGTTTATGGAAAAAAAGGCCATTTCATGTAGTGAAAAATGGTGAAAAGAAAATTAGGGCTGCCAGCGGTGACCTCTCAGCACCCTCAATTTGTCACCGATCTGCGCTCTTTGTTGATTGAAATTTTTAATTTGGGTGTTCTTTAGATGTGCTGTGAAAGGCCATTGTTGGCTGAGATGAACTCCTGCTTGCCTTGCATGCAGCAAAGGCATCTATTCAGAGGAGCCAAATGGAGACTCTCTTTCACACTCACACACACACACACACACTGTCCCCCTCTCTCTCTCTCTCTCTCTCTCTCTCTCTCTCTCTCTCTCTCTCTCTCGTTCTCCTGTTCTCTCTACCTCTACCCTTGTTCCCCATCTTTTTTCTGTCTCTTTTTTCAGCATCGTTGACACAAAAATAAGTGAATAAGACTTATCAGACATGAAATGGCAGATTAATTGAATCCTGTGTGAGGCTTTGCTCGCTGCAGCTGGATAGGTCCTTTAGAAAAACACAAGGCTGCCCTAATTGTAGCCTGCATAAAAAGTATCCTTCAAATTCCTTTGCCCTGAACGAGAAAAGGAATTCCATTCACTGGCATAATGGGCCTATTAGCTGCTTAACTCAGCCCTGTTACATGGGAAGATTTTTCTCCTCCACAATATATGTTTATGTGATTATGCTTCTATTGGAACAGGTTGTCCATTTGCTGTGAAGCAAGATTCGTTTTACTGTTTCATATTATGGTTAAGGCTGGGATTTGAGAATGGAAATTGGTCTTAGTTCCCATAAAATGCTGATTCTTCCCTAGCGTACATAAAACTTGAGATTTCAGAAGGCTTTGCTCCACCAGTTAGTGATGTATTTACTTTTTGCAGTTTTGTATATGTGCTATAACCTCTTGCGTTATTTTTGTGTCTTCTTCCCATTTTGTGTCTTTCTGCACATCTCCGCAGCAACAGTACCATTCTAAAATTGATGTACTGATCGATGAGGCCTTTAAAGAAATGATCTCCTGCCTGGTTTCAAAGGTACTCTTCCATTTCTTTCCTTAAAACAGATACATTTTTGTGACTGTGAGGTTTGGCTTTTTCCAACTCTTCTGCTGGCCTTCACATGCTACTGAATGCCTCAGAGCGCTTCCATTTAGACTCAATGAATATAGTACGCTCGTGAATGCTAGACATTTTCCTCCTGAAGCCTCTCACTGAGCAAGCTAGCGGCTCACTATCAGAGATGTCATTTTCATCTGGAGTTGCTATTACTCAGTCAGCTTCTTATTTATCACATTCTCAAGGGTCGCAAAAGATTTTATTATGCATCATCTGTGTTGCTTAATTGTTGTTCATTGTCTTGATGGTCATACACATTCCCCCCTTTCTGCACTCACAGTTTGCTGCTGTTTTGGATGGTGTGCTGTCTAAGCTGTCGCGATATGATGAAGGAACATTCTTTTCTTCAATCCTTTCTTTCACTGTAAGTGTCTTTTGATTTGAGTGGCTAAAGCAAAAATAGTACGTTTAATCTCAGAAAAAAAATGTGTATACCTTCTCTTAAAGGTAAAAGCAGCAGCCAAGTATGTGGACGTCCCAGTAAGTGTTACTCAGTTTAGAACTAATAGTGGTTGATGTGTGCATGCCTCAATGCCTGCTATGTGACTATGTATGAAGTATTTTATTAGCGCATGCAGCGATTTGTGTGCGTGCCAGTTTTGTAATATCATGTAAACTGTGGTATCCAACTTTGCCGAGTGTTTGAGCCCAGCCTTTTGGCATGCCCTCTCTCAGCAAGAAAACCAACAGGCAAGTAATAAATGCCGTTTCAGTATCACTTGCCATCATGCAAAATATCTTCTATTTATTCATCAAATGGCAACGTTAAAGATGGGTGCGGAATTAGCATTTTGCAATGAGCTATTGTAGTGCCAGGGTGCCTCTGAGAGCTGGCTAAGCAAGGCTAATTAGTAACCCAATTGGCTTCAAATCGGTTTCACGATCCGGCAAGTTGTTGACAGTAGGCGGTCACAACAAGCGGCAAGAGAAGAATCGCTAAGACTGTTCAGAGGGGTGGCAGGGAGACAGCGAACAGGCGAAGAAATCTAGAAGCCTTTAAATTATGTAAAAGAAATGAGATGCGGAATACCATCTTTGTAGTCAAAACAAATGTGTTTTACAGAAAAGGCCTATATCATCACTTTCATAATAAGAACCTGTATTTCCAAAAAGTAATAAAGGAAAAATCATGTTTTAATTTTAATGTGAGTGAATGTAATGAGATGTTATTCTGAATAATTTTAGACTATTTCTGGTAGTCCACTTGAAATGTTCAGGCAATGTAAAGAGCAGCTTGCATTTTCAAATGGTATAAAATAAATACGAAAAGTGAAATGGGGTTATGATGTGCAGTGTAGATGAAAAGAAAAAAAATCTATTATTTTCTTCATAACCAAGATATCACTGGAATGCCCCCCTCTAGCCTGTGTGGACATTTGTTTGGGCCTACCAGACAGTTACCATAACCCCACCCCCCACTCAATGAGAGAACAAACAGATTTTTATACTATAGTTAATTCATTCCATTTTTATTTTCCTTTTAAATTGTATTTTGTTAACAAAATATAATGTAATGTTATAAAATACATTTATATTTTTAAACTCAGTTTGAAGTTTTCCTGTCTTCTTTAATTATATGTTGTTTTGTGTTTTTGGACTGCAAACCACAAACATTACACTTTGCCCCACCAAGACTAAAAATGTACTCTGGTTCATTTGGTTTGATCAGTTCTCATTCTGCACATTCTAAAGACTGCAAACTTTGATTTTGCCGACTGTTGCAGAATGTTCGGTCAGTGTTCTCTGGACTTAATAATCCTTATGATAAATAATTTCAACATACACACAACAAAGAAAGGTATGTTGCTGCTGTGCCCCACTGTTCACTACGCCCCTCAGCCTGATGAACTTGTGCTGTTGGTATCAGTTCTCTGAGGTGTGCAGCAGGCAAATAGCCTTCCTTTCCGTTAAATTAGAATGTAACCTCCACCTTGCGCTTTTGTGTGGAGGGAACACAGCACCTTGTAAGCCCGTTTGACAGCCGTGCTGGGAGAGAGAGAGGGCGGGAGAGCCAGGCTGTGGTGTGGCCTTTGGCTCTGAACATTTTCAGCGCTCTTGTCACGAAAGGTTAAGCTGTCCTGCTCCTTTTGTGAAGGCTGCCATTCAAGGGCCGGGGGTATTTTGGCAAGACGAGCCGTTCTGGGGTAGCTCCGTTAAACACATTCAGTCACACATTCACACCCTCCAGAACACATGCTTTGCTTTGACGCTAACACTAACACATAGGCATTAGCACTCCACCTCGAAACTATTTACCCCAAACTTGCTTGCAGATTCTCATGCATGTCATACAAAACATTTCACACGTACTTCTTCGTCTCTTTCGTTCTTTCTCACACACACTTCATCTCTCTCTTACACACACACATACAGAGACTCTGTCTCGCACGCATTTATACACCTGCACCTGGGCAGTGAATGGGGCAGTGGCAGTAAGCCAGAGCAACCTCTCTGTGTGTAATTATGGCCTATTTGTCTCTCCTTCCCTTTCTCGTCTGTTTCCCATCCCTGGCGCTTATCCCCTCAGCTTAACCGGTCATTAACCTGGTCTTAATCCCTCCGTCCCGCACCTCTCCATTCATTCAGTCACACACTCCCTGTTCCAGGCTCCTCTTGCATTGTTCCGCCTGCCGTGGCTCAAACGCTGCTGTGCCGTTTTGTGTCAGACTGTTTGTGATTCGGCACAGTTGTTGGACCGGTGGTGTGTGTGTGTGTGTGTGTGTGTGTGTGTATGTGTGTGTGTGTGTGCTCACATGTATTTGTGTCATTACTTTCTCACCCTGTCAGAAAGACAGAGGGTGGGAATAGAGAGGCAGAGAACGGGTTAAAGAGCCTCCTGGTACAGCTCTACCATGGGGCTTGGGGATGCCTGAGGTGATGGAAGAGACAGTGATATGCCAGTGATTAACCTCTCACAAACACATAGATACACACGCTCACTATGTTTCCACTATATTTTCATCTTCTTCTTCTTCTGCACATTGATCTGCTTATTATTATTATTATTTGCTTTTCATCAGGACCACTATGCAAGAAATTACGTTTCTCTGCTGTGTAGAGTTCATTTAGCAGTTTACATTTAGAAAGGCGGTACTCTTTTCTGGGCATCTCTCTCTCTAAGAACTGAAAAGTGGCAGCATTCCTTTGAAAAATACTCTTGTATGCTGCTTAGTCCGGCTGAATCTCTCTCTCATACTGTTTGTGTCTGTTGTAAGAGGGATGTGTAGAAAATCTGTCACATTATACTAAATGTGCATAAATGTTTTTAAACTTTTAGGTTTCCACTGTAGGTTTTTGGTATTTGAGGTACCCACAAACAATTTATATTAGATCTAAAAAAAACATATATAATAAAACATACCATCAGTTTCTGTTTCCATAATCTGCTTCAACTGTTTAAAGCATTACATTTTTAAAACATTTTTCATTAAAAAAAATCATTTGAACGTTGCTGTCATGCAGCTTGTCTGCTATACAGGGATAAAGAGACTGCACTCCACTTCTGTTATTTTATTCTTTTATTTTTTTACATACTCTATAAAGATTCTCACTTTGGTGTGTGTGTGTGTGTGTGTGTGTGTGTGCGCCAGGGGTGTGGGTGTTCATACATTTTCAGGACAAAAATTACATCAAAAAAATCTAAATGCCAAAGCTATATGTTTCAGTTTTTTTAACTGAAAGGGCAAAAAAAAGGTTGAGGTTAGGTTTAGGCTCTGAAAATTGTTATTGCACATATATAAAATCAGTGTTGGGGTAGTAATCCAATCCAAATTTCCAGTTACTTCTCTTAAGCTATGATGGGAATACTTTACTTATTATTTCCTGGAAGAAGTGATCTCACTACTTAATGCTTTACCGCTAAGTTATTCTCAAAAACTTATACAAATCTGTACCAGCTGGAAAGTACAAGGTAAAATAAATTAGTTCTATTGGTACTATATTTAGAAAGAAATAGCCAATCACAATAAACATCATATATGATGTTTAATAATATATATATTTATAAGTACATTTATATTATATTATAAGCAGTCTGTCACTATCTTTGAGCAAGACACAGCCAGTAATGCTTGATTAAAATTAAGAAAGTCTGATGTTTTTTTAAAAACCTAGAACCTGTAGCCAGTTTAAAAACAGCTTTCTCCAAATAAAATCTTCATGAATAAAACGTAAACTTACAGAGCTGAATGAGAATTAAATCTGACTTTAGTGTGCTCTCTTCTTCAGCATGAGGGTCTTTATCCATCAGTTTCATATTTGCGTGATTAAATTCTTCAACAGATTGTTTGTTGAGTTATGGCTCTTCCTGCCCTTGCACTGCTGGGAATATTCATGATAAACATCACGCACTCAGTTGATGCAGGTAGCACATGCAAATGTATGGAAATGTATGTTTTAAATGCATTATGCATAAATAATAGTGTTTTCTCAGAGTGAACAGTAACTAGGAATGAAATGCGTAGCAAGTCAGTAACTGTAATGTGATTACAGGAGTAATGCATTACTTCACTAGAGGATGTTAGCCATCTGTATAATACACATGGAACATACAATCACCCCCAAAATGTATTTGGACGTTTGTGCCATCCTTAATAATCCATTAAGCTCCTAAAATAATCAAACCCATTACCGTTCATTTTAAACAGTCTATTCCAAGACTAAAATTTTCTGACAAAGTATTCTTTCAAAAGGCAGCTAATGTTTTAGATTATTGTTTGAGCAGTTTCTTTACTGACTTTTGCATGTTTGCATGTTTTGCATGATCTCGTGTGAGGGGAACTAGATTTGACAGGTTCTAAAGAATATAAGGCCATCTTTGTTTGTAAACTCTAATGCCAGTGTACGTAAACTCTGATTATTGGCACAGTTTTGCTGTCAGCGTGTGCAACATGTCTACATTAATCAAAGCTCAGGTGCAGTATGTTATGTCATTTGAGCTGTCAAACACCTGAGCCATCAATATCCTGAGAAGAGGCGTGTCCTCTGATACCTGGCATCTCGTTATCCCACCATTCTCTCTCGATTGTCCGGGAGGGAATTTCCACTTTGCTTGCGTTCCTGCGTCTCCCGGCGTGCTGAAGGAGGATAAGAAGGGAGCGTAGCGTGCTAAAGAGCCTACCTCTGCCCCGAGGCTGTCAGCCTCTGAGAAATGGGTGTGAAAAGTGTCAAAGCAATTACAGTAGTATTAGAGCCTCTTCCTCCTCTGTGAATAGAAATGTTTTTTTTTCCCTCTGTTTGTCACTCAGGTAAACTGAGAGCATTGCTTTGACGCTGTGTGAAGTGTTTCAGGGGCATTTCAGCTTGTTATTGTTTTAAGCTCAGCCGCTTGAAGATTTTTAGAGTGATTTAGATGTCTTTTTCCCTTCAAGGTGCATTAGCCCAGGCAGGCATTTTCTATGGCATTTAAGTGTGACTTTACATTCACAAGTTAGAATACCTGCCCAGGGCCTTGAATGGACTTCATTCTCTTAAACTGATTGAACATTGCTGACCACCAATGAGAATCTACATAGCAGAGCTAGAGGCACTGGCAAACTATGTCCTTGCATGCAAAGACAGGTGTTGTTTTGTGAGCTACCTCTTACCTCTGCTTAAGAAGTGTCATGGTAACTGTTTTGTTTTGCTGCAATTCTATGTCTGGAAGCAATCTAGCATCCCTCAGCGCTCATCTCTTTCTTGTTCTCTTCCTCTCTCTCTCTCTCTCTCTCAGAAACCTGGTATGGATCTGGCAGACACCTACATTACATTTGTGAGGCAGAATCAGGATATTCTCAGAGATCGTTTGAACGATGAGATGTACACAGAGAAAATCTTTGAAGTAAGTGCCTGCACAGCCACATCCACACACAATAGTATCAATATTGCAGGCGAAAGTGAAGTACAGCTTCATTTACTGTGTAAACAGCATCATTAACTCATACTGTCTATTTATATTAGGTTTTTACTGTGTAATTGTACTGAACTGTACTGTTCTGTAGAATTACATGATATCAGAAAATGACTATATACTTTATCCACTACATGGCCAAAAGTGGCAATGTGGCAACCTCAGCATCTGTTTGATGAGTTGAACATCTCATTTCAAAACCATGGGCTGTAATCTGAAATGGGGCCCCCTTTTTCTGCTACAACAGCTTCCTCTTTTCTGGAAAGACTTTGCACTAGATTCTGGGACATTCAGCCACAAGAGCAGTAGTGAGGTCAGGCACTGATGTTGGGCCATAAGCCAGCATTTGGTGCTCTAGTAGATCAGCTAATCTCTGTCGGGCCAGAAATTAGACTGACTGGTTGGAAAGGTTGCATCTTATGGTGGTACCAAGTTAAAAGTCACTGAAATCATCAATACCACCTATTCTAATGCCAGTGTTTGTCTAGGGAGATTGCATGACTGTATGCTTCATTTTATGCTTTTGTTAGTAGTGGGTGTGGCCCCACTAACGAAAGGCATGTCCACGTACATCTTTTATAGAAGAAATAAAGTTTATAGAAGAAATAAACACTCTTAACTTAGACATACATAATGTGACAAAATTTTATTCCAAGTCATTTTGAAGATTTCTCTTTTACAATGAAATATTCATGCATTGTAAAAGCTAGCTGGCATTTGTATATGGTGTTAAAAAAATCATGATAATTTTGGACCATTTCTGTTGGTCCATTCATCATAAAATGCTCATGTAATGTAAATTCCAGCTTGTATTTTGAAATGCTGTTTAAAAAACAACAATAAATAAACAAAATGGATTTTAGAAGGGTTTGATATTGCAGTAACAATATACTATGTTAGTTACTATATAGATACATACTGTTTTATTTTGACCATGTAAGCATGGGTTTCAGTATGTGTGATGTACATGATTGGACATTTGAATTTGATCTCTCAGTAGGAGTGCTCTGTAATGGCTACTCAAAAACAGGTTGTTGTTTAGGGAATTCTAATCTGAGCTGGAGAGGTGAGTGGGCCTTCAGGGCCAGTGAAGGCCAAACAGCCTTACTTAAGGGATCACTTCCATTTTGCTTTTGATTGGTCTAGTCTCTCAGGACATGCTTGTAGACAAACACTGCACATCTTTTGCTACTGCTTTCTGCTTCCTGCTATAGTCACTGCTCTTTCTCGTAACAGACTCTTTTTAACACTCACAGGATGATTCATCCAGTGATCCTTGAAGCTAAACTCCATGTTTATAGCTGCACTATGTAAATTGAAAGAAGTAGCGTTACTGAGTCAGGAGGGAAAAAAACATGCTAAAATACAGTGGATGTGCACGTCAGGTCAGATTTCACAGGAGTTTTTCGGACCACAACGTGGCTTGACATATTAACGTCACACACACCGAGTCAAAAAGAAGGTCCAGCTTGATGTTTAGGTCTCAAATGCTAAATATACATTATTTTATAATCAACTGATGAAGATATGATGACAATAGTAGATAATTCACTTACATCCTCAGAAGACACGTCCCTCACCAGGTTTTGACTGAGTTCTCTTTGAACACTTTCAACATTTTTGCAGCAGTCAAATTCATCTGCTTGGTGAAAGGGTCCGAAGCACAACCAACTTTAAAAAAAGTTTTTTTTACTTGTAGCATGCAGTTAAACATTTCCACCAGAGTAGTCTCCAACTTTCTAAATCTTTCATCATGTAGCTTTAAGAAATGAATGTTTTTGTCCTGGTTTTAGCCCCGTCATGTGGAAAAAGAATGGATTACAATTTATCAAAAGGTCTTTGCAACTAATTTTAATGTTTATGTTAAGAAATTATGGTCTTGTCCTGGTTTTAACCCTCTCACACTGGATGGATGGATTTGTAATCCATCTAAAAAGGATAGATGACGATTTGTCAGAGTGTCTTTACGACAAAATTCTGTGTGTGTGTGTGTGTGTGTGTTAAGAAATCTTTTAAGAACATCTTTGTCCTGACCATCCAGAAGTAGTCCTCATTCTGAAAACTATCAATTGAAAAAAATGCTGTGATGTTGCGTTTTCCATATTTTCTATGGATGTACAGTGATTCAGAATCATATCGGCATTGGCAGATAATTGTTTTAAGGAAAATTATCAGCATCAGACAGATGTTGAAATTTTGACGGCAAATATCTGAAATATCTGCATTTTATTTATTTTACTGCGTTTGTAATCCTACAAAGATACATGTAATATTTCTTCATAATGCTAATACAGGTAGGCTTAATTCCAGTTTCTGCATTTTATAAGTGTTCATGTATTCGCATCTGTTTAGACATGGGCAGATATGTACATGAAAAAAAAATCCCTAATATTTTACTTCAGCATAACTTTGTGGCTTGGTAAGCTGACAGGCCAAAACCATACCGTGTCCTTCTGCAGTGTATTTTCTTTTTCCCTTTGTCTGTCCACAGCTCCTTTGGCGTCTCTGTCTGATTCTTTAGTTCCCCCTCTCTCCCTCTCTCTCTCTCCCTCCCTCTCTGTCTCTCTCCCTCTCTCTCTCTCTCTCTCTGTCTCTCTCTCTCTCTGTTTCTCTCTCACCCCCCCCAGCTCCTGGCCCCTCTCTGTATTGTAGAGCTAAGTGAGTGGGAGGTGTGGAAAGTTTTTGGTGCGATAGGCAATGAGGCCTCTTGAAGAGCACTCATCACCCCCATTGTGACCATTTCCAATGTCTGGCCACTCACCCTGCGCTCCTGTTGACCTGTTTATGCTGAGGGGGTGGCATGTGAGTCTGTGTTTGTCTGTTGTATGTGTGTCTACACTATTCCATCCTCAGTTTTAAGGCCTCTTAGTAATACATAAAACAAAGACAGCAGAACAATAAGAAAAACAAATACTTGTTTATATTGACAATTGAGCAAAAAAGGCAGGATATAGACACAAACACAACAGCTAGTTTCAGCAGTGTGTGCCTAGATTGTGTTTGGAAACTTTGTGCGCGGGGCCAGATTGGAGAGACGCTGTGTTTGGGGCTCTTCTCTTGATTTGGTGGAGCTGCGGCGGGGTCGGAGAGAGCGGCAGCGAGGAGACAGGCAGGCAGAATGCTTAATGCGTCTCACACACACTCCCCATGCTTCCTAATGTGCCTCACACACACCCAGTCATGCGCGCGGAGAGGGAGCTGAGAGTGGGGGTCTGGCTGTGTCACCGCAGACGCTTCCTCATCACACAGGCTGTGAGAGAAAGAGCTCTTGTGAATCAGTCCACATGCCTGTGTTCTTATTTGTTTTTGTGTTCTTTACTCTTTGTATGGATGGATTGGTGCACTGTGCGTGAGTGAATAAATCACCAGATCTGAGGATGTGGATATATATGGATATCTAAGACAAGATGCTTGTGGAAATCAGGCTGCACATGCCCTTGCAGTCAGCAGTAAATCAGCGTGATTAGGAGTGTGATGAGGTGCGCATGGCGAGGGGCCATAGCCCTCAGCCTGGCCACAGGTGCCACACACGCCCTTCACTGCCTCCTTAATGATCAAGACAAGAGAACACTTAAGTGTGTGATTACTGCCACACAGGAAGGAAATGTTCTCCGTAATGTGTTCGTGCCTGACTGATAGCACTACGCACAAATGCAGCCCGCTACCCTTCACCTGTAGAAATTAGTGGCTCATCACACTGGCCGTCTGTTTCTGTCTCCTACCTAAGCGCCTCAATTAAGGACAACCTCTGCTTTCTATTTTGTCTGCATTCAATTAAGTGTAGGAGGTGGTATTGCTGATGGCTTCAGAGATGACTGCTAGGAGTGTTCTCACTCATTTATACTCCACTGACTGTCATAAACCCGAAAAGAAATATGTTTGAATGATTGAAGAACCTCATGTTTTTTTTTCACCATAGTTTTGACAAGCAGGAAAGTCACTATAATGTTCATGGTACTTGCTTTATATGACGAATAAAAGTTAAAAATTCAGATCCATTGGCCAACCATAGCATAGCCCTAGTCATCAAGTGCTAAAAAACATAGTTGCTGTAGGACAAGCTAACTATACATAAAAAGCAGTAAATGTATTGCTGTTGTCTATGTTATGACATAACCAAAACTACCCTGCTCACTAGGACTAGACAGGTGGAGTTCTTCACAGGTTGTGTCAAATATGCGGGTATAGTACTATACAAAAGTCCGGGACCACCCTTCATCTATTTAGTGTCCTGTCAAAATAATAATTCTGTTAAGAACGAGTAATTCAGTTTTCAGTTGATTTTTTCTGTGGAGATTAGATTTGAGGAAAGGTAAAGTCAATGGAAAACAAGTGAAAAAACAACAGTGTAAGACCTACTAGACCAACAACTGTCACTGTCAGATAAACAGTGCATAAAGCTTTTATCTTGAAGAGAGAGAAGAAAATCAAGCTCCACAAATGTTTCTGTCCATCCTTCCACTGTGAGAAGATGACTCAACACTATGAGTCTGAAAGGATGTGTAGTTGTCAAGAAGCCACTACTGAAAAAAGAAAACAGACTAAAAAGGAAAAAAACCTGCACATCAAACAAAGATGCTGCTGGTGTTGTCAGAACAATGGACTGACTATCCCGGATTCCAGACCTCAACATCACTGAATGTGTTTGGGATTGGTTAAATCATGCAAAGCAGAAAATGCAACCAACTTCTGAACTTTGGAGGAGTGATAAAATATCTTTGCAGACTTCTTTGAAAAACTGAACACAAGTCTTCTGAAAAAAAGTAGAGGAATGGAATAAAGGCAAGGGGTGGGCACACTAACGAAAAGTTTGATCTTATATTTATTACAATTAATTGTTGAGGTTTCTATGTCATTTTCTGTTAAATGTATGTTTTCTGTTTTTATTGTTTCCTAATGCTAAAAAAATGAATAAGTTGTACTTAATGGACATTAAATAACTGAAGGGTGCTATGACTTGACTATGACTGAACAAAACTGTACATTTTCTGGTTTGGAAAGTCTAAAAAAATTTCTCACTTGAATAATCCTGTACATTTATGGGAAAATGTGTTTAAAATTGCATACCAAATGAAAAATAATTAGAATTTTAAGAATGTAACATGGTCTGATATTTCATTGCTGACGTGATAAAACAGTATGTGGGTACATATTCATTACATTTGTAATTAATTTCTGTTTTGTGTATTAGAATTTTCTGGGTGGCACTGTAATGTATTTATGAATTTGCACCAGCCTCCTTTGCATCAAACTGAAATTTGTAACACTCAAGCCACTGCAACAGTAATGCGTTTCATGCTTGTCAGTCTTCCTTGGCATGTGACATGTATGTGTCTAACTGCAAACAAAAACGTCTACTTATTAGTCCCTTGCACTGAGTTAATAACAGTCATAATGTAATTGTGGCTTGTACAGCTACAATAGCCATGTGTAGTGAAGGAAGTGTCTGTGTAGGCCTGTTTTGAGTACCTAATACCTGAGATTGTGGTTTTGAAGAAGTGAGTGATGTGAACATAAACAGATGGATTAGCCTAAAGCTTGTTTCAAAAGGCATCATGTGTACATCAGCTCAGCAGTCTGCAGCAGTCGTGGCCTGCACATGTCAGAGGCTTTCATACAGTGCTGTTGTAGTAAGAGTATTTAGAGGTGTCATGACCTACGAGGCACACAGCCAACTAACCAAGCATTATAAAGTCATTTCAACATACAGAGTGTTCAATGGACCACTTAAACCCTTAAAACACCAAGAGCTGCTTTAATTGTTGAGTGTGTGTTGCAGTAATAATGTTGTTCCTCATAGTGAAAGTCCAATTCACTGACCTTGTTATACAGGGCAGGTGTAAGTGCTGGCTGTTTCACATCTTCATTAAGCCCCTGAGGGTGCACCTGTAAAAAAGAAGCTGCAGGTTTGAAGCCTGGTCGTATAATTCTCTGTTCTCATTGAGAGGAGAGTGCAGCAGGGGGTCTCTCACCTCTGGCTTTCTGCATCACACCAGCCCATCATGGTCAGAATGCTTAGCAGTCCACTGTGAGGGCACTGAGGTGTGCTGTGTGGTGAGTAGTTTGAAAAGAGCCTCAGAGAAGAAACATCCTCCACTGTCATGACCGTGCCCAAGACTAAGACTGGTTATGTCCAAATAGGCAGAAAAAATGGCTCTTTTTTATTTAGATATAATGACTGCACACATTTTTGCTAATATAAATGTCATGCTGCATTGTTTACAACTTAATTGTTTTTATTCACACAAATAAAGCAGCATGTTGATATGCATCTGGCTCTAGGCTGCACTGTTCCCTCTTGCTGTGAACATAGATGGTATTTGTTAGAAGATGGATATTAAGTATAGAATAATCAATTGTAGATACAATTTGCAACTTATTATGTTAACTTAATAGGTCAGCATTTACCATTTGATTCCAAATGCTAATGTTTTATTATGGCTTTTTAAATATCTTTTTACAGTACTGTGCAAAAGTTTTTAAACATATGAGAAAATTATGTGTAGAGCCATTTATCAGTGCGGCAAGCATTTATTTGAAAAACCTAACTTTAGAATACATTTAAATAAACACATAAATAGCAAATTAATAAATAAATAACAAACATCATGATTTTATATATCTGTCAGTGTTTTAGCTTAATCATTTTGAAAGCTTTCCACCAGGAAGCCCAGCTTTATTTGCCATCCAGATTAAATTAAATCAGGTGTGCTGCTCATGGAACTTAACACATCCATGTAATAATGGCCGGAGTGTAGCAAGACGTTAGGAACCAAATCGAACTGTGTTTGTGTAACCACAATATTAATACCATGTTTAAAAACAGAACAAATTGTTTTTGTGTTTTACTGTACTTGTGTTTATTTGTATGCATTCTAACATTCCGTGGTGATTTACTGGCAAAAGTGCACTTGCTGCAAAGATAAACAATTTTAAACAGTCTTCTTGGCTGCCTAAGACTTGCACAGTACTGTATGTTCAGGCAACTGCTATTGATCCCATGTAGCACAACAGTCATTTGTAAATATGAATGTCTAACCTAAAAAAATAAAACAAAATAGCGTGGAAGCAGTTGATCCTTTTCTTGAAAACCTCTTAACAAAAACTCCTACACAGTCTTCACCAGTCTCTTACTTGCCTTACATTTAAAAAAAAAAAAATCACTGTGAATGGTAACCCAACAAAGAAAACTATATTCAATGAGCAGCTGCTTTATGCTCACTGAACTTCACTTTATTGGAGCAGAGGAGGAGTGGGATAGAGAATTTTATCTATTCTGGAGCCTTTATGTTCTCATAGGCCAAGGTTTCTGTTTCTTTTTCTTACATTCACAGCAATGGTACAACACCTCCATGAAGGCAGTGTGTGTGTGGCTGACTGACAGACTGGACCTGCAGCTCCATATGTATCAGCTCAAAACCCTCATCAAGATAGTCAAGGTGACAGCATGTCAGATTTTGTCTTCTAAATGTGCACGCTTTGTCTGACTCTAAAAATCGTTCTTCTGCATTTTGTCTTTGTTTTGCAGAAATCGTATCGTGACTTCAGGCTGCAGGGTGTGTTAGACAGCACATTAAACAGCAAAAACTACGACACCATCTATAATCGGCTCACAATAGAGGAGGCCACAGCGGCTGTGTCAGCTGGAGACGGCCTGCAGGGCATCAGCATGAGGGACAGTGATGAAGAGGATGGCTAATGGCAGAAGGTCAACCGAATTAACTGTATTAAATGTTTAAATAAAACACTTTATCAGGACGAGGCTGTTTCCTCCCCAAGCTACAGTGCCCTGTGTCCAGGCTTAGCTCTACCGCTATCACTACAGTATGCTTGTACAGTATAGTTCAATGACCACCTGCCGACAGCTCAAACGTCTGGATCTTTGTTGTACTTCATTTTATGTCCAGTGATATGGTGAATTAATGTCCAACAAAGCTGGTTCTAACTGTGAAGGCATGAGGTGCAGATGATGGGGAGCTACATGTAGGCATGAAGAACATGAAGAACATGAAGAACAACACAAAAACAAACAAAACCGGTCATGATCAAATGTAATAATGTTCTTACCTGCTTTTTGCACTGTGGCTTTATCTTTGTTGGTCTAGGCAGGCCAGAAGTCTGAAACAAGGATAATATGCTAGTTGTGCACTGTTTGTTTGAAAATATAAGTGGTGACATTATTCCACTTGATATTTAACTATGAACTTCAGTTCTTCTGTAGAAGTAACGATGGGTTGTGTGCATCGTGTATATTACTGTACGGTGTTGATGTCTAACTAGGTTTTACTTAAGAGAAACCATGTCAAAGAATTTTAACAAGAGATGTAGGCTATATTTCTATTGTCTTTTGTGCACCTGAGTTTGCACAGGTGTTTCAAGTGTTAGAAATAAAAGTGTTTTTAATGTTCATGCGTATGGCTCCTCATTTCAACTTTTTGATGAAAAGTTCTGTATGCTCCTGACCAGTACGCACGGAAATATTTATACATAAAAGACAAAAAAACTAGTTAAATAAAGCACTTGCAGCACTATATATAATACTGTGCATTTACGGCATTTGGCAGAAGCTCTTATCCAGAGTGCCTTACAATTTGATCATTTTACACAGGTAGGCAAAGGTAGTGTTAGGAGTCTTGCCCAAGGATGGTTAATGGTACAGTGTAGGGTGTGGGAATCAAACCCTCAGTCTTTAGCATAGAGGGCAAAATAGTTACAAACTATACCAACCCTTATGAAAAGTTGGAGACAACCCATTTATTTAATTTCCTTTTTTTTGCTTTTGTACACTCTACTGCATTTTTAACTAAAGTTACAGCTGTGTCCTCCCAAAAGAAGCTGCTCCCAGATCTCGCTGACATTCTGTTCCCCTTCAAACAGACACTAACATTCACACAAGCAACTACACAAACACACCCTAGTTGGATGTGTAGCTGTCAAGAAGCCATTACTGGGAAAAGACAATAGACAAAAAAGAAGAAAATTTGCACTAAAACACTGAAACTGGAGATGTGGATTAAGGTTTTATAGACTGAATATTCTAAATTTGTAATTGGAGTTGTCTGCCCTGCGATGGACTGGTGACCTGCCCAGGGTGTATCCTGCCTTCCACCCAGTGACTGCTGGGATAGACTCCAGCACCCCTCCGCAACCCAGAAGGATAAGCAGCTTAGTGTGTGTGTGTGTGTGTGTGTGTGTGTGTGTGTGTGTGTGTGTGTGTGTGTGTGTAATTGGGGTTACATGGATGGTGAGAAGCAGAACCAACTTCTAAGACTGAATTTGGGAGGTGTGTAAACATATTTCCTAGAAATACTGAAAGTAAGTCTCCTGAAAAGCATGGAAGCTATAATAAAGGCGAAGGATAAATGTTGTAATAAAAACTTAAAAATTGATTTGGAATAGATGGTTATTTAGCTGTCGATGCTTCTATGTAATTTTATGTTAAATGTTTGCTGCTGCTTTTTTCTTGGCATTGAAAAATGAGTAACTTGTACTTAATGGCCATCTTGACTGGAAATTTAATAAATGAAATGGAGGTCTCTGACTTTTGCACTGTACACTACACTTTTAAAAATGGTTCTTCAAGGGTTCTTTGCACATTTTTGAAAGGGGTTCTACATAGCACCAGAAAGGGTTCTGCCATTGTTATATCAAGCTTGTAACAACAGAAGAACCTGTTTTAGTGCTTTATAGAACCCTTTTCAAAAATATACAACACATTCTCCATCAATCTGCAGAACCCTTTCAGCACCAGCTTTAAGCAGGCAGATGGTTCTTTGAGTGTTCACAGTTGTATATAGAATCATTGTCTTTTCCAAAGAACCCTTGAAGAACCATCTTTTTAAGAGTAGATAAATGAAAGTGTGCCCTGTTCTACAGATATGCTGTGAAAAGCTGCCGATAGCTGTTCAGCTCTGGGCTGCATGACTTTCTCCACTTGTCACTTCATCCTGCCATGAGTAAGTTAGTCCGCTGAGGCCCTTCACTCGGAGGAGTGAGGAGCTGTGCTGAAGGGAAAGGATGGAGAAATGAGCAACATGGGCCCTCCGCCTACCCTCCATCTGGCCATTAAGCCTGAGCCTGGGGTCAGCTGTCCTCTGCTGGAAGAAGCCTGTCTAATCACCACAGGCCTAATTATCTCTTTCCTAGCCTAAGATTTGATGAGAAAATGATCTTGAACTATCAGCGCAGTTCAGCGAGGTTTAGGTAGAGGAGCTCTGCTCGTGCTGGCCTCCACTGCCCAGTCCTCTCTTCATTTGGATGCAAATGGAAGAATTAGGATTTCGTGATCTTTTAGATTTCTCGCTGCAGCTCTCAGCCCAACACGTCTGCTCTTCTGAGAGCGAGCAGATTAAAGCCTGAGTGAAGTCGCAGTGTTTTGCCGATGAGCTCAAAGCGCTGCAAGAGTGCAGAACTGAATCAAGTGAGCCACGAGGTTGTGTTCATTTTTCTGTCCGTTTCTTCTCGCTGCACAGTTTCAGTTCGCACGAGCAGCCCGCAGCAAACGCGTCTATGGCGAGCCGTTTAGCCCAAAATGACACGAGCCGTACAACTCATAACTGTTTTCAGCAGTAAAAACGTAATTCTGACTATTTAATCTTATAGTATAGATTATAATAGTATAATATCTAATTTATACTTTGCCATATATAGTAACAATAAATATTACAGATCTCCATTATGAAAACGTCACTCATTGAAAGATAATTATGACAATTAAATATGTGTTCTGACTAGTTATAAATTCAATTTCAGGTTTATAAAACTGACTTCTTACTACTCAGAACTCATATTCAGCATATGGCTGTTGTCAGAACAAAACCTTGTATCTCCAAAATGGTAAGTTTACAGGAGAAGGAAAAAACGTACTTTACTTTCAGTGTAAGTCAATGGAACCAGAGTTTTTTCCAAGTCATTTTGGGCTGTTTCTTGTGGTCCATTCCTCATGAAATTTACACACAATGTAAAGGGCAACAGGCATTTTCACATTATGTCGGAGACTGAAAAACGACAAAAATGGAGATACGAGGTTTTCTTCCGACAGAAGATATATGCTAATTTATATTAGACAACACACCTCTTTTCTCTGTCACATGCTTAGTGCAGATTCCTCAGACTATATTTCAATATAAAAGTCACTCATGGTGTATGGCAGGTTACTACTATGAAGTTTGCTAATTGAAATTATAACAATGGTAGCCTTTAAGCCCTGTTATCCCACATGCAGCAGTCTGTTTTTGCATTTGATATCTTTGGCGTTTGCACAATGTCTGGTGGATGAGGAAAATCTTTCGCCAATGTTTACCTGCATTTGGCAGGAGGCAGAGATACTTTGGTTTTCACATTGATCTATTAATTGATATAAGAATTATTTTTCATGGCTTGCAAAATCGCGTAGGCCTATTTTTCAAACTTAAACTGCAGAAGAAGAGTAACCTATCCACAATAACTGGTCTCAAAAAGAGCCTTCTGCTTATTTACTGGCCCCTCCGTCAGGCACACTTAATAACAAGTCAGATCACAAGTTAAACTAGTTTTAAAAAGTGCAGTACAACTACATCTACAGTAAAACCTAGACAACAAAATCACAAATGAAAAGCTTTATTTCAGACTTTAGGGTCCAACCCACCACAAAAATGTCATGGCCAGTAAACTGTTGATAATTGTCAATAATTTAACGAATCTGCTTGCTCAAATATTGTTGATGTTCCTGGAGCGCTCCAGTCTCTCACTCACTAATGTGACCACATTTAACACACTGCTAAATGGGTCAGATTCTTCTTCTACCCTTCATTCCTCTCCTTCACAACTGCCTTCCATCTTGCTCCCTGCACTGACTTGCTGCACACATACCACCCTTTACTTGCCTAATGTTGCTGCCATAAATATGCATGAAATGCAAATTTCATACTTGTTTATGTTTTTATTAAAGTATTAGAGATATCCGAAACATAATTTTGACTAATAAGAATTAGAATTGCAGATCACTCATCTATATTTTAAATTTCAGTAACTTTACTTAAGACATCTGTAAAGCTATTATGACTAGTATTAATTGTAACTTTTGGTATCTTATTTTCAATTATTACTCGTTCTAATGTAATTTTATACTAGTCAGGTCATAATTACAGATATCTATTTCTCAGGTATACAGAGTTAAAATGTGGTTATTATTTGTCACAACTGCTTTCTGACTGGTTATAATTCTACATGTAGATATCAATAATATTATTCTTACCAGTCAGAAGAGAATTCTAGATATCTACAACTGTGTTTTAGAGATCTGAAGCTATACAAAGCTCTAATGCATAACTAGTCATAACTAAATAAAGATATCTTGAATTAGTATTTCTACTAGTCAAAATTCATCTATGGATATGTGGACCTGGATTTTTTACTAGCCAAAATTAAAGTGTAGGTATCTGTAATTGTATTATTTAATAGTAAAAATGTTATTATAGATAAGACAGAACGAGATTCCATGTAAATCAATGGTAAAATATGACCAGTCAGAATTGCATTATGGATATGCCAACCTGGCAATATGATCAGCCAAAATAGCTTTACAGATGTGTATATTTGATGTAATGACAGTGCAAACTGTATAGTAGATATCTGTAGTCATAGTTCTACTAGTAGAAACTGCATTACAGAGCTCTCGAATTTGAGCTTTTACTATTAAGAGAGTTCTGACTTGTATCGCTGGTGTCTTTTTAGGCTAAAACGGCTCGCCATACGCGTCCACGAAAGGACTGCAGGAGCAAAAGCTCAGCCCAGATCTGCGCTGTGAGCTCATTCTCAGCCTCACACTTTTAGCAAAACACACAACGTGTTTTGCAAACCACTAAACACACTTTTCTTCATTAGACACAGAAATCTAACATGATGTCACTTCTTTGCCATGTGAAGGCACCGCCTTTCAGCCGTTTTCGTGACGCCATCTTACCGGCTGTCCGAACACCGGAGGAGACGAGCCGCTCAGCTTCCAGCAGAGGATACAGAGCGAAGCTGCACAGAAAGACTCTCACAGATTAGAGACGCGTCACTGCCCAGAGAGGACGGACAAACACGGAGCTGTCCAGCTGAACTTTAACTTCGGGTTTCTTTCATTATATGTTGTGTACTTTGTACTTGGTGTAAAATTAAATAAAATACAAATATATGGAGTAGAAAAGCACAGAGAGCGAACAGGCACAGACTCTGTGTAGCAGCGTTAGGCCGAGCTTTCAAGCGAACGTTGTGACCGGCTCATTTGACCAATAGTCGACATCAGCTCTCCCATTTCTCCAGTTTCTGCTCCTTCTCTCCTACTGCTCCTCTCCTCTCTTCTCCTCTCATCCTTCTCCTCCTCCTCTCCTCTACTCTTTTCTCCTCACCTCGATTCCTCCGCGTTCTTCCGGGGGAGGACAGGAGCAGTAGCAGAAGTTTCTGGACGCAGTTCTAGGTGCTTAATTGTAAACTCGCCAATCAGGAGTAAACACTATCAAAAGGTAACAGGCATAAGCGGAGCTGCCGCGGGGGGCGGGGAGGAGTGCGGCCTACCCAGAGCCCACGCTCTGTATGAGCCCCTGCTGAGCTACTGTTTGGCTGGACCGCAGCAGCGGAGAGCCTCTCTGTCCCTGACCGACTGACTGACTGACACTGATTGAGTGACTCTGATTGGTCGGCCGAATGCCGCGTCACTTAGTGATCAAGTCACTGTGAAGTTAGCTGATGTGTTTTTAAACAGGTTCGGCGGTAAAGTGGAGAGAAAGTAGCTACAAATCGGGTGCATAAAAGCGCAAAATACGAGAAAGGACAAATCATTTACTTGCATCCTGTGTCGCTCTTACTTCTCGTCTTGCTGGTCATCCTTTCAACACAACACAAGCTGCAGTCTTACCCTCCTCACCTGAGATACCCACACCTGACCATTCTCCACAGCATTTACAGCACCGGGCCCATCAGCAGCGCCAGTGCTGAACTTCAGCCTCTGAGGTTCTTCAGTTAAACATCGTGTGAAGAGTTTTAACGCTGCGCTGCGCTGAGTGAAGATCTGGGGCTGTTATAGGGCGGATATACAGCGAGAATCAGAGTCTAAATCGTTTCTGTTTTCTGGAAGAAAAAGTAGCTCCTAGTTTGTAAAATAATGTTTCGGCCTGTTTTTAAAACTTTGGCGCGTATAAATACAACTGACTGAGCGATGCGGTAAGAGGGAGGCTTTAAAGGGAAAGTCTGAAACCCTGAGAAATAAAACCAGGTGTTTCAGCTTCGAAATATGAATCTCTAAACGAGCCTTTATTAACCTTCAAACCACATCAGCGAGAAATACGAGAGATATGAGAGGGATTTCTCCGTTCCAGTGAGGATAATATGATTTTATTACATTTTACATCTCTCTCTCTCTCTCTCTCTCTCTCTCTCTCTCTCTCTCTCTCTCTCTCTCTCTTTAATCATTGATTATAAAAGTTGTTCCGAGTCGTAGCGAAATTTCAATCACTTGTAAAAGAAAATAAAATGATTATTATTATTATTATTTGTTGTTTTATAACAGTATGGTATTCGTTATTTTGTAGGGGCTCTGTGATGTGTGTGTGTGTGTGTGTGCGTGTGTGTGCATATAGTTTCATTTCTAGTCCATTGAAGTACGTACTGATCTGTTATTTATTTATTTGTTCAATCTCAGTGTGCTGTGTTCGGAGTGTAGTGTTTTCAGTGTGTGTTCAGTGTGTACTCTGTGTTCAGTGTGTAGTGTGTTCAGTGTGTGCTGTGTGTTCAGTGTGTACTCTGTGTTCAGTGTGTTGTGAATTCAGTGTGTGTTCAGTGTGTGCTGTGTGTTCAGTGTGTACTCTGTGTTCAGTGTGTTGTGTTTTCAGTGTGTACTCTGTGTTCAGTGTGTACTGTGTGTGTATAGTGTGTGTTCAGTGTGTACTCGGTGTGTTCAGTGTGTGTTCAGTGTGTACTGTGTGTGTATAGTGTGTGTTCAGTGTGTACTGTGTGTGTTCAGTGTGTGTTCAGTGTGTACTGTGTGTTCAGTGTGTACTGTGTGTTCAGTGTGTACTCTGTGTTCAGTGTGTACTGTGTGTGTATAGTGTGTGTTCAGTGTGTAGTGTGTGTTCAGTGTGTACTGTGTGTATAGTGTGTGTTCAGTGTGTACTCTGTGTTCAGTGTGTAGTGTGTGTTCAGTGTGTAGTGTGTGTTCAGTGTGTGTTCAGTGTGTACTGTGTGTTCAGTGTGTACTATATATTTATAGTGTGTGTTCGGTGTGTAGTGTGTCTTCAGTGTGTAGTGTGTGTTCAGTGTTTACTATGTATGTATAGTGTGTGTTCAGTGTGTGCTATGTGTGTTCAATGTGCTGAGTGTTCAGTTTGTGCTCAGTGTGTGTTTATTGT